GAGGATTTTGTCTGTTATTCAGATGATGAGTAACTGCCACTTAGATTGACTTATCTAGATAATATGTTTTAAGTTGCCACTGATGCATATATTGTTCTTGTTTACCTAACCAGTGCAGTTAGGATCTGAATAAAAAAACTTTTTTTTACGGTTTTAGAATGGGTTTTATATGGTAATACTAAAATAAATACTTTATTCAATATTATTTGACTTTTGACTGTTTAATTTGGAGCTATAAAACTAATATCAATTTTTATAACTTGAATATATATTTGGTCAACAAAATAAGTTAAAGGCTTGCCAAAGTAGGGTACCAAGCGAGGTTCTAAAATGTTTGTAAACTTATCGGCTTATACCCAAAATTTGGGAAGATACGTAAACCTAACCTTATTTTTTAAAAATAGTTAAATAGGTTTAGCAGGCAAACAATTAAGCTAATAGATAAGTATCTGCGGATTAAACGTGAGTGGGCTCCATGATGCTAGTGTTAGGTAAATATAACCTCATCCAATCTTGTAAAACATCAACTGCAGGTCAATATTATTGTTGTTCCCAAAAGTCTTTTTTCTAAACGTATTAAATAAAAGACCCACCCCTATTAAATTGATAGATCCAACTAAATTAAATACTTAGGGATGCATTGCCTACTCATGAACGCTATTTAAAATAATTTAGCAAGGTAATTCTTGTTCAATAATTCCTGTTAACTTACAAATAAAACGTTGAAAGGATTTCGTAATATATTGTCATAGGTAATTTGAATTGTTATCACAATACACTTTTTTTAAAAAAATTAACGCTGTGTCTCTTAAGCTTTGAATAGAAAGTAGAACATATTCAAGTAAATAACAATAAAACTAGTAAACTTTACTTAGGACTCACATATGAACTATTTACTTGAGTTTTATTTTTTAATTATTCGGCAATAATTAAATTAGACGTAAAAATTGTAATTAGTTTACTTCGGTAAATAACTAAATGAAAATAGTAGCATACTTTAAAACGTTAGAAAATTCGGTAAATTTTGTAGCTTCTATTATTATTGCTAACTACAGTTTTCTTTTAAAATTAATTAACTATATACAAAATTAAAATAGACTATTATTTAGAATAAAAGCTTGAGGCATATAATCTGGTCGTTATATTGCGCACAACTTTTTTTTAAAGCTGTATATTATCTGTGCTCACATGTTAATAAAAAGAAGAGGTGATTAGATAAATCAAAAATATATACTTTTATATGGCCAAGCCTCCTAGCAAGCTATTACCAGATATGTATAGTATACTATCCTTAAGTTAAATAAAAGCTTCATAACGATATAATTAGAATTTTAACTCTTAGATCCACAAATTTACTGCACTAACTTTGAAGGCCGCAATGTTGTCTCAAAGTAGTGTATAAACACGTAAAGAGATAAGAAACTTAAGCCTAACTAAAGTGAGTAAGCAGTTCTATATTGCCGACGCCATAAACTTTTAACACATGGCAATGTGCCATAGAGTTAATGGAGAAAATTTTTCGACATATGTTAGTTTTTAGTGTAAACACTAGCAAATAAGTGACAGATAAAGTAGAGTAAAAATTAACCATCACTAGGATATATATTATGTGTTTATTAATGTTCTTTAGCTCTCTTATTATAAAGAAGCTAGACAACTTCCTCTGCTCATAAGTAAATTTCTAGACTATCAAACAAAATTTCATATAATTAATTCAGTAAAAATAAAATGCCATTTACACAAGTGATCAGATCGAAAACAATTGAGAGGCGACATATTTTCAATCATTTTATATAGTATACTTAACTCAACTAAATGTACACTACGATCATCGATAGTTCTGGTTAGCTTTAAGTTGGTGTTATACCTTTGTTAGCTTACCCACCAATTAAAAGTAGATGCCCACTTTAAAAGGCAGGGATCATTTTTTAAGGTCTCAAGGCCTAACAATATTAATTTAGTATTTTTTTTTTATTACCTTTTATGCCACCGTCTTTTATTTCCATTTAACCAATGCTAAATTCAAGTTATCAAACACACTACATCACAAAATGTTGGCATCCCCAACCACTACAATAACCTATTCGAGTGCTGAGAATTAGAACCCTTTATCCATGTAAAAATAGCTAGAAAACTCTATTAGGACCCGAATAAACATTTTAAACGAAGCTGTCAAGAGAAAGTTTGAAGAGAAATATATTATAACTTCGTAAATAACAGAAAGGGACAAGGGAAACACGAGGGTACATATACTTTCACATATGCAAGGGATGTGGAACACATTAAGAAATAGGTATTAAGAACTTAATTATCGACCCTCTCAGCGAGGTATAAAGAAGGATAGTTGACAGTTAATATAACAGAAGATTCTACGAGTGGTTTCCGATTTGGTCGCCCAATATTTTTTAGTATATTAAAGTCAACCAATCATAGCTTATATTCAGTGGCCAAATCGGACGACTATGAATATAATATTTTCATACCGAGTCCCTTGATGCTATTAACAAAAAAATCTGCTCGCCTTTGAGTTGCTAAGTTTTTTTTATGGTCTAGAGCGTACAGTAAATATCTAGAAAAGAACAAGAAAGGGTCCCTAACCAATAAGCAGTAGGTCTCACGTCATCTTAAACTGCAGTACTTAGCTATACTTTAAATAGAGGTACAGTATATCAGTTATAAATACACATTTTTACAAAATAAACAAATCTTCATGAATAGTAAAATGAGTTAATTTTATTTTGAGAAACTGCCAAAAACATCTTACTACTAAAAGCTACCGACAAGGTACGTATACTATAGCACATGGAAAATAGACAGATAAAAAATTATAAAAAACTACGTAAAAGCTTTAATATGTTCCGGTGACCAACTTAACGAACTCAAATATGTCTCACTGTTTGTACCGCAAATGTAAAATTAACTCTTAAAAATATATGTTAGGGTTCAATTGTTTTAAACCTGACCAATGTCCAATGTTCTTAATCTGGACTGTTATTTTCCAGAAATCTTAAGACGGGAACCGCTGGGTAGTAACCGAGTTCTCAGAAGTGCTCTTTACGTGGGGTATGTATCAATCAATCCTATTTCATTCTTTTTTATATTGCAGATGTCGCATGAACCCAACAGTTTTATTTGAGTGGTGGTTATTTGAAGGACTTATAGGTGATTCCTTTATTGAAAATGGTTCATGGTAAGCCTTCGGTATTGCAAAACGTTTAGAGATTGTAACTCTATACCGGGAAGGTTTATCAGTGCGGTATTTCACCGAAAAAGTGCGTGTCTGAAACAATTTACTGTCCATCTAACTATTGTCGATTTCAGATCACCTCTGCAGCCGATGACTATAATTAAACTAATCAATAAGCGTAATAGACATTTACAGCCCTTGAAATTACCGCAAATTTAATTGGGACGTCAAAGCGAAGTTTTTGTCGGTACTTCAAGAAAGGAACAAAAACAAAGGTCTTTCAGTGGGCCAGAAGATATGGACACTGGAAGACTGGAAAAGCACGTTGTAAATTGACGAGTTTTATTGCGAGTTATTCGGCCAAATCGTAGAATTTTTGTCAGAAGAAACAAGGACTTGAAAACGTTCCTGGCATGTGAGCTCCAACAAGGTAACACCGGAGGTGGCTCTTCGTTAGCTTGGGGTTATTTCTGTTTTGCGGACGTAGGAGATTTGCTGGGATCATGCACAAAGAAAATTACCCCCAAAGTCTTGAAAACAACGCGGTGCCCTCGAAAGTACAATTATTTAATACTTTACCTTTACGCGGGACAAGGACCCTGAAACATCGCTTGAGTGTGCAAAACTTACCGATCGGCAAGAAGCAAGGCTCCCTTCGGATCTTGGCGTATCCCCCCCCCCCCCAAAAGCCAGGTCTAGAATCTAATCCATTAACTACGGGCAGAACTCGATAGGAAAAAAAGTTAGGAAAGAATGTGTGACAATAAAATAAAACCTGTGCTCCATAGAAAGTGGAAAAATATTATGCAGGAAAAAGTGCGTGCGGGTCTGCATCCGAAGGGGACTCTTTAATGAGACTAGAATTTAATAAATTTTGCATTAGCACGTTGTTATGTAAATACGATTCTGCTGTAGTATGTGTATGTTTACTAGTGAGTATGCCAGAAAGTACTACTTTATCCGACTTGAATGACTTGCACCAATTTTACAGCGTTTATTTACTTTTACCCGTTGCCCATTTTTCCGTGGCGATAGTGTAGGTGTGAGGATAAATTAAAAAACTTCTACAATTTTGAGTGACAACAACAAATTTGGGAAAACATATACACTGTGGAATCTGAAATAACAGATATAACCAAAAATATAATATCAGAACCTAATTAAATATTTTTTATATTCCAGGAGAATATAATACTAACCAACTCAGATTTTATTTATTCAGAAACAATTAAATCATTAAAATAATTGCTAAAACCTAGAAATTGATAATATAAAGTAAATTTAAAATCTGACACTTTAATCAACTTTAACCCCCGAAACACTTTTAACGACACCTCATACTCTTTATTAAATTAATGGGTTGGTAATACAGGTATGTAGAATATATATTTAAACTTATCAGATACAACCTTCAGGTAGTTGCTTCTGCACAACTGCCAAATAGGCTTTACCTTAAACTAATAAAAGAAGTTTTACTACTTGGATGAGACTAATAAAATGTTAAAAAACTAAGGGGGTTAACACGCGACAACTCTTCAGACTTTTAACGAAAGCAAAAGATTTGAAAGACAAAAAACTACCTTTATGTTGCACAACTATACTTCTATTTTTATCGTAACAACACTCTTTCTAACACAATATTGATCTATACATTCAGAAGCCGATTTCTTTTACTAACATATTATTACCTATTTGTATGAGAAACTTAATTTAATATTTAATATTTCTTTTATTTTCCAAATATTTTAAATATTTTAAGAGCTGAAAGGCGAAAGGCATATATTTTTTATTACAAACCGTTTAATTACCGGAACATTTTAGTTATATATTATTTATTGATGTATTGTTACAAGCGATAAAAAGCTTATTAGGATCGAAGCGCTTAGATATGTTGAGCTGAATACCCTTAATGTTTCCTACTAGAATTACTTTTAGAAATTAGCTTCTTTACGTGATGGTCGTGTACTCGACTTTTCTTAGGCTCGCAATCACATGACTGAGACGTGCCACTCTTACACTTGCTTGTCCCTTCTAAAGAGTTGTAACGTGAACATGGTTTTTCCACATGGTTATACTGTGTTCGATTGTCCACATGATCTTTCCGCGTTCTTTTATTTTTACTTATTTCACGTGATTTTCTATCCTTTTTTTTCCTTGAGCGAATGGAACTTTCAGAGTCGGATCTTTCAGAAGAATGTCGAGACTCTTTTTGCGACTTCTTTTTCTTTTTCTTTTTCTTTTTCTTCTTTTCGTGTAGCAATTCGCTATCTACAGATAACTCTCTGAAGTAGTATTATCCTCAATAGAAACAAAACAATACACAAAATAATAATTAATATAAAAACTACGCAAGAAGTGCAAGTTTCTCTTCTTTAGTTAGAGAGTTCAAAAAAGAAATATCGTCGTCTATAGCATCCTCTTCAGAACAGTAAAAACAATAGTAATTATAATAATCATGATAACATACCGCGTGACTCGTGCTGCTCTAATTCGTATAGCAAATCGTAATGGCCTCTGCAGATTCCCTGCTTAAAGGCGAGTCCACTCTAAAGTTTTATATAATTTATATATTTTTATCATAACAAATTCTCAAAAAATAGTATACACATCTAAAAAGTGTTTAAAAGAATAAGCGATGAATCCATAACAAACTAAAAGGAATCATAAAGCATAAAGTAAATTTTGATTAAAATAGGAATAATAATAGTGACTAAAAGGTAAATGGGCCAATTATCCATGACGAACCACGTAACTAACAAGTACAATTTTTAATAATTGGTTACTACAACCTTCGAAATATTAATGGAACTACTGCTAAAAAATTCATTTCGCTAAAAAACTTTTATTTTATTAGATATCGAATACTTTTTATGTTCATTATAACCTTTTTAGACCCAAAACTTTTTCCACTCACCAATAAGAATTAATTTTACTAATCATATCAAAAATAAAAAAAAGTGGCACTACTACTTTTTTCATTTGTTTCATTAGACCAATCGGATCTTCAAAAGAAGGCCTCTTTATTTCTTGTCCTTCACCTAAAAAGTAAATAATAATATTAATAATTTATAATAATAATATATGTAATAATAGTAATACGAAATATGATAGATAAAAGCAAAATTAATAATAAAAAAATATAAATAATATTATTAAGTAATAAAAACATAAAAAACAGTTATCATAAAAAAAAAGTGAGAGTAATAAAAAAATAAATTGGAAGTATAAGTTTATAATAATATTCATAAAGTTAAAATTTATAATTAGAGGTTATAAATGATAATAAAATTATATAAAATAATAATATAATAAAACAATTAAATTGTTATCAAATTATCGCGTAACAATCATTAAAAACTTTTTTCAAAATATTTAGGGCACAAGCGGTCCGTATTGAGATGTCCCCACACTCCGCACTTCAAGCATCGCACATTCCGAAGCTACAATATATATTTATAACAGTAAATGGTAAACAAAACTGTAGAAGATATAAAATATATGAAAAATTTTGTAGATAAAGTTATTATAAAAATGTAAAAGTACTGTATAAAATAAAAATAAACGTTAAAAAGTCATGAGTTCAATATATTTCGAGTTTTTAAAAAAAAATAAGAAATCATAAAAACTTGAATACATATATACTAAAGTTATAATGAACAGTTGATCATATAATGTTATATACGAAAATAATAATACCTAAAAAGGTTGTTTTTAGAAATATATACTATGACCAAAAAAAATTAGCATAAGTTGATAAGGTACCTCAATACCCAATGGTCTATCGCGAACGGTTCTCACATTTTCTACTGAATAACTTAAAAAATAAAAATGTAAGATTATTAGTAAATTAGGTCGGTTATATTATTTAGTATCCAAAAATAAATAGTCAATAATTATAAAGGAACCAAATAAATACTAATATTATATCTTATATGGTGATATAAATAACTGGTTGGAATTAAGTATTTAATTTGCTAAACCGGTAAGCGACTTAAACTGTAGCAAACTAAAACCAATCAGAAAATTCCAACTAAAAGATTTAATAGGAACCAAATACTGCATAAAGAAGAGCAGCACTAATTAATAATAATAATAATAATAATAATAATAATAATAATAATAATAATAATAATAATAATAATAATAATAATAATAATAATAATAATAATAATAATGAGAGTCAACGATGCTTCTCTCGGCGCTCCCTTCAAAATTTCAAACTTATCGTTCAGAGTTAACCGTTTCTTGTTTCCATCAACAACAGGCTTAAAGTATAAAGAATATTTATTATTATTTCTAACCAATGACAAGCTATATAATATAAAATAGTTTAACGAACAGCCAATAAGAATAACTATAACTAAAGGGTTAGTAGCATTAAATAAAAAAAAATATAATATGATAAAATAAAAATTCTATTAACCCACTTTTTAATTATAAAAAAAATTAAAAATTTCTTCAATATATTTCATAAAATAAGTATAATATTTTTAACATAATATTATATAAGTAAAAAATAGAAAAAAATTGCAGATCTTAAAGTACTTATATGTTACTAATTAACCGGTTAGTTAAATATTATTATTTATATATTGTTAAAAAATCCAATACAAAATACTTTTATGTATACAATCAAGCAAAACCTAAAAAATAAGAAAACCTATGTTGGTCTCAAAAAAACAAATCATTGCTGTATAAAAAGTAAATAAAGCAACAATAAAAAAATATAATTAAAATAATAATCAGTAAAAGAAAAGTTAAATAAAAATAATATTATGAAACACCACGAAATTATAAATATTAACAAACAATTCATTTAATAATAACAAAAAAAATTAAAAAAAGTTGTTTAGGAAACCAAATAAAAAATATTAAAAATATATAAAAATCTAAAGAATAATATTATATTGAGTTTAATAAGTTTAAGAAATGATATTAATTATAAATTTGTAAAATATAAAAGTAAACATAAAAAACGAACTGTAAAAAATTTTTATAAACAAAAAAAAATTCTTCATAAATAAATATATAAAAAAATTGAAAAATAATCATATAAAAAATTTTAATATATTTTAAAAAAATCAGTTATAAATTTTTTTTAATAAACGTACTAGAAAATGTTAGAAAATGATAAAGTAGTTAAAAAAGCAAACCAATCATTGTTGTTCAGATATATATACAATAATAATAAATTATTTATAAACACGTGGACAGTAAGTTTTTGGAATAAATTGCATATTATTTATTCATCAGCAAAAAAAACTAATCAGTTCAAAATTTTATAAAAATAAAAACCAAAAAATATTTTAACAAAATAAAAATTTTTACAATTCAATAACATAATTATATTAAAACTTTTGTAGGCCATTATTTTTCCAAATAATTATTTGTTAAAAAAATTAAAATGCAATATTATAAAACTTATAAAAATAAACCAATCAAATTTTTGATAAAAAATAAAAAATTTATCAAATAAAGATGCCCAACAAACATCGACCAATAGAATTTTAGAAAACAGATACAACCAAATGTCGTAACTACCAATCAGATTTTTTAAAAAATATTATCCATGGAAACTAATTATAATGAAAATATTTAATATTATTTTACTAAATCGCCTGTTTCAACTTCCAACTTTTCTTCATTTTTTATGGCGTATTCTCTAAAGCCTTTCAATTCCAACTTATTCGGATCCGAAAGGCTCTGCAGGCCGGGAGGTGCCTTATAAGCAAAATTAATTTCCAACTTCTTTTTTTCATCAGCTGTAATTCGAGGTAAATTGGCTCTAAAAGTTTAAAAAAAAAACTTCAAGAACTGAATATAGAATATTATCTATAAATATTTTAAAAATATATTTTTTATAGTAGTAAAAAAAAAATGATTAAAAGAAAAAACAAAAACTTAGAAAAAACTTAAACTTAAACTTAAAACAAAATCATAAACCCAAATCGAACTTTATTGTAAAATAAAAAGCAAATTGAAAAAAAAAAGGAGTAAACTTTAAGTACAATAATAATATAATAAAGTAAATAACCAATAACACTGTAACTGTCATATAATTAATTTGTATAAGAATTTTTCAAAATAAGTAAAAGGTAATTTAAATAGAACAAATATTTTCTTAAAAGCTTTAAAACATGAATTGCACACAGCAAATCGATTAAAGTAAAGACTAAGTTTCATTAGACAATTTATATAAATTAAAAATACTGAATAATATAAAAATTTTCCTTAAAAATATATAACAATTATGAAATGTATTATTTAACTACTAAACCTACATCACTAAAAAAAATAGCTTAAAATTCTAGAGACAACGAAGTAAAAATCTCACACAAACTATTTTTAAAAAATTAAAAAAAAACTACTACGCGCTGAAAAGACAAACCTGTTAGTAAGTTCATTTTGTTCTTGCTGATATTCTTTTTCAATTTCTTCCTGTCTTTTTGCTTTCTTGGCTGCTTCTTGTTCCTTAATCCAAACCTTAAAATTTAATTGGGTAGCAAAGTAAACAACTCCAGTTAATGTAATTAGTACAAAAAAAAGTATATTTTATAAAAGAAATGTAAATATATTTTATAAACCTTTTTAATGTTATAAAAGTTTCCAGGATGGAAGGACTAATATTTATGTAAAATATATTATTTTTATTTTAGTTAAGAAGAGAATTCAGAATAAGAACGATATGGAAAAAAACCTTTAAGTTCATAAAATGACTGATAGACATTTTTTTTAATTTATAATAATAATCTAAAGTTTATATAAAAATAAATTAAGTCGCAGAAAAAAAGGTCCAAGAGTCAAATCATTTTATAAACAAAGAAACTATTATAAAGTCAACTGTATAAAAATTATAAAAAAAGAACTTCAAAAATAATTTCTTCATTAATTAATATTTCGCGTCATAGTATTATTTTACATATATTTAGAATGGTTAAAAAAATAAAAAAACAGATTATAAAAACTTAAAAAAGTAACCTTAAAAATCTTTTAATTTAGAAAAAAATGCAAAACTTTCGATATATAGCGCTAATTGTCAATATAACTATCAAACTATGCTTCAAACTGATAGAAATAGCATAAATGAAACTTTAAAAAAAAACTATACAAGTGTAAAAAGCTACTAAGGCTGCTAACACAGGTATATGTAAGCAGGAATAAGCCGTATTATGCAAAAAAACATAAAATGATTCAAAGAATAAAATTATAATTACTATATCTCTAATACGATACTCAAAAATAATGGAAAACAAACTTCTCAGCGTTTCAAAAGCCCAGACGACCTGGTAACTTTAAAGTGCAAGCAATATGGCCAGAATCAAAACAAACTGCTCTGTATGGCCAGTTAAAAAATGCAATTGATGACCTGTCTACAGTAAGAAGCTTCCATGAGTGCTTGTCGCAGGCAACTAGAATAATAATACTCATATATATTTCTGAGGATATAATTTTTGTTTTTTTTAAGAGTAATTGTAAAATTTAAGTAAAAATATATAGTTACAGTATTAATATAATTTTATCCGAGATTGAAGGCTTCTAACCTGTTATATAGTAAGCACTTATTTCAATTTTTATAAATGAATACAATTTTTTTCTTTTTTTTACTTTAGTAAAATGGTATTATAGTTTTAGTCAAAACTATGAACTTTTTACATTATTGGTGTGTTGCAAGAGTTTCGGAATTAAAGTTTAAAATTCAAGGTTTATAAACTATTAACGGCGTTATCCATTAACTTATTTATTAGTTCTAAAGTTGTAAGTTCTCAAGAAAAAATTGCACTAGCTTTTTTTTATTTTGGATATTATAAAGTAAAACGGTTTTTGACTGGCTTCTTTTTGGGGTTCTTCTCTGTTCTTCTCGTTTTTACTTCTTTTCGGGGCTTTCAATCTTATTTTCACCGCGATTTTCAGGTTTTTTATTTTTTGTACAGCACTTTTATATTTGTTTATTTTAACTCTAATAATTTTTTGTTACCTTATTAAAAATATAAATTAAGGTTACACTATTTACATTAGCTTTAATTAATTTTTTTATGTGTTTATGAAGTATATTTTAGAATGTTAGCCACAAAATTTAGATAAGTGTTATTTGTTTATTTTTAATTTATTTAAAGAACTTTAGTGTTTTTTTTTAAAAATTTAATAGTAAGCATATTGAAACCTGTTTTAAAGTAAAGTTATTAAAACATATAATTAAGTGAGTAACTTGCGCTTAAAAGTTTAAGCCACAGCAGAAGCAAGTTTTGCAAGTAGGGGGAAATTTCAAACCTCAATTTTTAACGTTTTTATAAGTGTTAATTTATTAATCTCAAGTTCGAGAACTTTAGCTATCTCTCCTATTTTGTTGTTAATTACACATTTGAAGTTAACTTTTAATTTATATTTGTAAATTTACGAATACTGAAGGCTTAAGTAAAATCTTAACTGAAGTACGCGCGGTTAATTCCCACAAGAGCTTAATAATTTGGTTGCTAGTTCTGAAATTAGGCTGTAGTCACCGCTCGCATTAATTCAATATATTAATTTTTCTTGTTGCTTTATAAATTTAAAACTTCTAAATATTTTATATCTCCTACAATTTGTGCTTTCACCTTAAAAAGGTAAACGTTACAGTAGATGCTTATGAATTAAATCTAGTTAACAGTAAATAAATAATATTGTAGTAGGCAACAAACTGTAAACTTACAATTTAGTTATAACCTGAATTCTTTTCATTTTGTGGTAAAAGTGATGTTACAATATACTTTTGTTTGGCAACTTGCTTTACACATCTGGTAATGTGTGGGGGACTGGCCCATACCACCGAAAAAAAAGGTAACGAATTTAACAACCTTTATTATTAGAATAACTCGATAAGAAGGATTTCAAAATGGAGTTATAAAGGGGGTATATTTTTTTGGCAAAAGAATCATCTTGAAGAGCACGCTAATATTATAAAAATGAAAGCCTGACTGTATACACGTAACTACTTGACTACTTCCTCTTGAGGCTACAGCATTTGGCCTGGCGCAGGCTAACTCAATAAACTTTATTTCGCTTTTCCATTCAGTGTTACGTTTAGAGTTGCTGTAGTTGATTAGTGACATTTAAGAGTATAAGAGCTAGAATAACAAATGGTCAAGGATTTGCCTTCTTCTGCAAACTAACCAAACAAAGTTAATTTTTACGAACTTCTAAAAAAGTTTAATTATAAAACTTTATATCATTTATATAGTAATGAAGAACTCATCACGTATATTGTTGGTGTTTCATTTTTTAAGTAGCTATTTTGTGTACGTAAATATCTGTAGTAACGCTAAAATACTTGGTTTTGAGAGCCTTTTTGCTTTAATTAGAAATGTTTTTATGTGAATAATTATATTATATAAAAGTTAGTGATAATAATGTTATAACATTTTGCTGTTGATGAAACCTTTTATCCAACTATTACTCGGGGTGCATTTTAATATACTACTAATGAACTTTATCTCCTACTAAGGCTACTTTGGTGTTCGCCGTAACTCCAACCCGCGCACGTCTCACGCAGAGAGCGGAGTTAACTCGTATAAGCAACTTAGTGAGTTCGGTGCGTTTCTTTTTTATTATTTTGTAATAATGGATTAAACTTGGAATATATTTTATAATTTTTACTTACTCTTTTTTCGAATATATATTTTTTTCTATTACAATAATATATTATATTTTATTAAAAGTTTTTAATTTATTTTAACTTAGTTAAGGAAATGCCAAAATTATTTTTTTCTAAATTAGTCAATAATTAACATTTCTTTTTTTTTGTATAATAACATTCCATTTTTATAATTTTAACATTATTACCGCTTTTGACACGAAAACTGTTTCGTTACTATAAACAGTAATATATTAGATGACGACTGTTATATGCTATTATAGCTTCTTTCAATAATTAAATATGTGCTTAATATGTTCTATAGTATAAAATGTTTTTTAACTCTCTTAATTGATGTTTTAATAAAATTTTTGTATAAGTATACTAATAACAAATATTGCTTAACAACAACCTATTTGAATTTAAGCAACTTTAAATTCACCATTTTTTAGGGTTAACCCCATTGTATATAAAGTTAATATCTATTTGGGTCTCTTTTTTTTTAATTTTACTAAATTTAGTGCAGTGACGAATTAGTTATCTGTCATGCTTTTTACTAAATTAGTCTCAGTTTATCCATATGGTTGGTTTTGTGACCTTTGATTGCGTGTTATTATTAAACATTTCTTGTCGCGCTTCAGGAATATTTTTTACCTTATTGCTAGTAAACTTCACAAACATTGGGACAGCAGATAAATTTGTACATTATCAGTAGGCAACTTTGTTATTATGTTATTAGTATGAGGTGCACTTCCGTTACAATGAAAAATTTTTATTATTAATAATTCGGTTTTAAATAATTATGAGAACAACAAAACGCTTGTCTTAAATAAAAAGGAATCCAGCTAAACTTTTCAATAATTTATTTATAAAAAAATTTAGTAACTTTTAAAAAGTTAAACTTTGCGTAACAACACTTGCACTTTTAAATATTTAAAAAGTACTCGTACGATTTTTAATTAATGAAAATCTTAAGTTTTTCTTCCTCCTGTAATACATTTGATCAAGCTTTAAACATTGTGATTAATTTAAAAAAATTTAGTCGAAAGCTAATTTACAAGTTTATCATTCAAATTAAGTATTTGAAGAAGATTCTAAAAATATGAGGGCGCTTAAAAGTTGAAAAATTGTTCTTAAGCAGGGCGTAGTTGACAACACCATTTAGTATTTTCAGTTGATCACTTTAAGCGTTATATGTTTACGTGGAAGTTGAATAAGCGCGAAAAAGTTTGTTAGGGACGTATTTAGTTTTTGTTAAGCTGAGCACTTTACGTTTATAGAACTGTTATAATAAAAAATTTCACAACTTCCTTATCAACTTTGATACCCATTGCTAATTGGGTAGTTTTATAATTTCAGAAGTTTAGGAATTTTTATAACATATATCATAAGCTTTACAATTTTTTGGTATATTCGTTCTTATTCTTTTTCATGGTTTTTATTAAGTTTGTAATTTTATCGGATAATATTAAAGAAAATTATATTTTCCAGTAAATATTTGTATATATTTCTATATGTTTATTAATTTTTTTTTGTGAATTTGCTATTTATAAAAATCCATTGGAATCCCAGAAAACAATTATGCTTTATATTTAATATTTCTCTATTTTTATGTAAAAGGCTGTTTACATTATTTTTTATTAACTTTGAAGATTCCAAATATTTATTGGATTGTTATAGAAGAAGGCAAATCCATTACTTCGGCCGTCAAAGAAATTCTGCAACACACAAGTTTATTATTATAAACAATAAAAACTTTTATTTATTTACTTTGTTGTATGAATTTTTATATTTCTAAGTAATTACAATTTATTTATTTTAATAATAATTTAATTTTTATATAATATTTCTATATAGTCAATAAGCTTTATATTATTATGTTACTGTATTTAATACTTAAATTTCTTTAAGTTTACTTATTTACTAAATTATATTTTTTAGTTTATTAAAAAGGTTTAATTTTTAGTTTTATTATAAATATTTTTTTTTGTTGTTATTGTTTACTTTACTATTTCTTTTTATATTATATTTATATTTACTTTTATTTTTATGATTAGAAAAAACTTCGAAAACTGTAGTTTATTATATATTTTATTGCTTAATATGACTGTTATTTAATTTTTATTATTAATTGTTATATAAGTTTCAATGAAGTTTGTTACTAGTTAAAGTTTATTATATTTTCTGTGTTTTTATTTGTGTAGTTATTTTTTTTCAATGTTTTATTGTTTATAAAAAAAGTTAAAGTAAAAGTTTTTTCTTGTTTTTAAGTTTTACTTTATATGTAATTAAAAAAAAACTTTTATATTGCATTTTCTCATTATAATTCCATTTTATTATTATTATTATTAGCATTTTACTTTTTTTTCTTTATTTTTTATATATATTACTGCCTTTTATTCTTTCAGTTAAGAAAAAAAAAGACATTTTTTATAGTTATATGTTTTGACAAAATTTGCCTATTTATCTTTTTATAGTTATTTGTTTGCTATTATTATTACTTATAAAAAGTATTAAATTTTTTTTAAAGAAATAAAATTAAATATTATTTGTATTACTTTATATTTTTAATAGAAAACATTAAAGTTATAATAATACTTTTGCTTTATTTATAAATTTAATGAGTTTCTATTATTCTTGATAAGGAAAATATTATATTTTTCAGGAAATTACAACAATTTATTAATAAATACTAAACTTTAATGTATTACTGTGAGACAACTTGTATTATTATTTCAATTTTGTGTTTAATTTTGAATGTTTATATATTATTTTTTATATTAATGCTTTTTTTAATATATTTTTTTAGCAGTATTGGCTATAAGCGCAGTATAATATAAATAATATATAATAATTAAGACATGCAAAAGTATTTTAAAAAAAGATTGCTTTATAAAAATCTATTTATATAATTTTGATAGTTTTTATAAACATAATAATTTTATAGTATAATTTATTATATCTCCTATAATATTTCATATTTAATATAATTATTAACTTGATCAACTCTTCGTATTATTATTTATTAATTTATACTTTTATATTTATTTTCATTGTTTTTTTTAATGGTAAATTTATGTTATTACATTTATAATGAATTTATTTTCTCTTAATTATTGAATTATTACTTTTAATATTGCTATATTTCTTAATATTTTTTATAAATTATTATTAATAATATTTTCTTCTTTTTACTACTTACTATTATTATTTATTTTTCTTAAGTTTCTAATATTAACTTTTAATAATTAACTTATTTATTAGTATTATTGAACAAAATATTTACTTTTCTATTATAATTTTTGTAACTATGCTTTTATTTTTTTTTAAAGAAGCAACTAAAACTGTCCATCTCGCTGCTCATGCACCTAAAGAACTTTTTACTTCCAACACAAAGAAAAGTTTTCAGGTTTATTAATATATAAAATATATATATTATGTATATTATTTCATATAATTATTTTATTATATATTTTTATTTATATCAACTTTTATTTATTATAATAATTATTTCTTATTATATTAGCTTGGAACAGTTGCACAGTACAACTCGGCACTAAATTTTATTAGTAAATATAATAAAAATGGTGTTGTAATATTTTTGCATGAAGAACACGCTTATGAGGCTCTTATTAATATTTATTATTATAATTACTATTATTATTAGTTATTATTTATTATTATTATTATTTTAGTTCAGGTTATTTTCACTAATCCGCGACGTAGAATCCATTTTAATTTGGCCGGTTAAATTTATTGATCCAAAATACGAGCAAACTGTAGCTATTATTATTATTTTGTTAAGTATTTTCTATAAGAATAGTAGCATTTTGTCTATTATGGTCATCATATCATATTATTGCTTTTTATTGGTATAACACTTTCTTATACTCGTTACTGTCGTTTAAACTTTTTGTAAATGTCTTTTAGATAAAAATAAAGAAGCCTCTTAATACTTTTTTGAATTGGGCATCATTTGCTTTTAATACAAAACTTATCCAGAAGCGGTACTTGTTTTTTTAATAATAGTAATAATAAAACGAAATAAATTATTATACTAATGGTAAAGTGTAGCTGTTCTGTCACGTGCGCATTTTTACAGCCCCAATTTAATATTTAAATTGATGCAAAAAGCTCTTAAATGCTCAGTTACTAGTCAAAAAAATTTGTTGGTGGTCGTCGCCTTTTCCGCTCCCTGGTGTTTTTCCACGGCTCAATCGTGGCCATCTAAGCATACGCACTACCAATAGGGGCACGACTGCTTTTTGCTATTCGAGAGATATTCTATTCGCTATTTTTCTATAATAAACGCTATTGGCTTCTAAATTATTTTTAAGGGATTTCTCTAAGTAAAGTTTCGGTAATAATAATTTTTCCGCCGCGTTCGTTTGTTCCTTTTGTTGTTTTCCTCCAAATTTCTTATATATAAAGTTGATTCGCCACTTATTATTTTTTAAATTATTACTTTTAAGAATTTTAAATTTATATTTTTATTAGTATTTTTTAAGGTAAATACTTCTGTCTTTTTTATTTATTTATTGTTATTATTTTTAATCACCAGTAAAACCTTTTTAAGTTTTATGTTTCTTTGAACTTTTTTACCTTAAATTTTTATATTCTATTTTAATGTCTGTTTTACTTCGTACTTTGTAATAAAGTAATGTAGAAAAATTGTACATTTATTATATTTATATGTCTCTTTTATATTTTTTTGTAACAGAAAACTTTTTTATCGAAAAGAAGGAAATGTTTCTTTTCTTAAATTTCTTTTTGATATTTTTAAATCAAGAGGAGCTTCAGTTCAAACTGTTAACGGTTTTATTATCTTTAATATTTACTTTTTATAACTTTTTATTCTAACTTTCTTCATATCAATATATTTTTATTTAACTTAAAGAAAGTTAATTATTTCTTTATAAATTTATTTAAAGATTCGGAAGATTTAGTTTACTATATTCCATCAAGTCCAGTATTCATCAGAAAGAGGAAAATAAATTAGAAAATGTAATTGTAACGAAATATTAACGTACTGTTAAAAAAAATGAAAGTATATTAAGATTATTATTTGAAATTCATGAATAAGCGTTTATTACATATTGTATTATAAATATATAACAACTGTTTAACTTAATGACTAATAAGTTTAATGCTGCAGTAATCTTAATTTTTTTTGGTGTATGGAGTAAGAAAATTAATTAGATTATTATAAAAAAGCGCAAAACTAGTAAACGCCATAGGTACCTGTTAAATGGCTTTAGTAAGGCTACAAAGTGAAGAAATTTTAAAAGGTGGAAGGATGCTGTAATTTTTAAGATCAACAATTGCGGTTTAGACAAACCTTATTACAGCGCCGGCTTTGCAGCTTTTACGAAAATATAAGTGGAAACGTTATAACATGTTACATGTCACAAAAAGAAAGAAAAATCAGAAGTTGAAGTCATTTTAAAAATTCAAAATGGAATCTGTATTTCATGGAGTAATAGAATTTTGTTAAAAAAACTTTTTAGGAGAAAAAAATTATAGTAAATTAGAATTTCAGCGAGGATTGAAACGACTTAACCAATAATCTGGTATTAGTGTTTTTTTTTTAGGTATTTTTATAATTATACAAAAATTCAGTTTTTAATTACGAAATAGAATTATTAAGTTGTTATTAGCCCCCATTTTAATTCTCTAACTATTAAGGGGGAAAGCGCAAAAGTTTATAATAATTTGTTATTCGAAGGAAAACTATAAGAAAACTTTGCTTTTCAGGCACTAATGGTGCCATCCACTGCTATAACTGCGTCCCTTGAGCCCGTCTTTCCTATTCATTTTTTTATCTAAATTCTTTTATTAATAGGCCTTAATAAAAAGAATAATCCCATAATTATTTGCAACTTTAGTAAAAACTAAGGTCAGGATACTGTAATAAATTTATTGTGGATACTCTTTTTTACTTTTAGCTTTGAATAAAAGTGGCAAGTTCCTTGTCCAACTTTGTGTCTCCTTCCAAATCATCGAATGTTCTAGAGTCTTTACAATATATAAATATTGGAGCTATAAAGAGAAGCTGAAGAGATGTACTCAATCTTAATAAACCAGAAGGGTGCACTTACTACTCCGTTGATAACTGATTCTCCTTTACCTCTTCCTTTAAAACAAGGTGTTAGTCAATTCTCGAGTTTAGACTGAGGAAAATGCAAAATAAAACAACCGTTTTTACTTTGCCTTTCTTTAGAGTTTAAAATCCAAATTAGCTGTTCACAAAAAGAATATTTCTTGAACAATGAGAAGAGAAATCCCTTCCTTGTTTATTTAACCAACCAAGTGGGTAACCTATGCCTCAACGATAGTGTTACTGTCACAGCTTCTAAGATTTTCGCGCGGTTGTAAAAGTAAATTTTTGGCCTCAGTTTTTATTTACCTCCATAACCGCTTTAAAAAATATAGATAACTAAAAACTGGAGGCCTTAGTCAAAGCTTATAGACCCCTTGAGAACGCCTAGCATTCACGGTTGTATCTCCGGGCGCTTAGTCTAATGAGTTCAAAAGTTCATATATATGCAGAATACTGTATAATTTTGAGAGTATGTAAATATGCGTAAGGCAGGGTAAAAAAAAAGGCATATGTGAAAGATTTTTGCTAACTAAGCAGGTGCTCACTGTGATTGTCGGAGGTGTAGAGAAAAATATTTGATTAAGAGGGTGGTTATAGTAATATATATAAATACTCTTAACCAGAAGATACACCGCAGAGCAAGAAACATACAACTAGAAAAATTGAAAAATTAATTTTACTAATTTTTTTTAGTTCTTAGCGCTCGACCATAAAAAAAAACACCAAATTTTCAAGCTTTCAACAAGGTAATAGCGTATAACTAAGATTGACGTTTGTTTCAAATCAGAATATTATTTTTAATTCTTCATTCCTAATTTTTTCATAAATAGTTTCTTAATTCATCAAGGAGGGCGCCCGCATTCTACGGTGGGATTACAATAGCAATTGAGCTTTTCTGCCAAAATTCGATTAGTGTGCTTAATAAGCAGGTCGTAAAATTTATTAAATGAGCTCTAAAAGAATAGCATAACCACTTTTCTAAGAAGCAAGTTTATAGAAAATTTAAGTAAAGGAACCTACAATGTAAGCTCTGCTAAAAACATCAGCTGCCATTGACTTGACCTCGGAGGTACTCCGCCAAATGGTGTCCACTAGGCAGCCTGGCAATCGCAGGAGAAAAAAGTTATGTAATAATTTGGGCAACATTCCCAATTCGTTATTGATTTGATCTATTGTTATAAGGTAGTAATAAAAATTACCATAATATATGGGAGCGAGATTATATACGCAACCATCAAAAACCGAAAAAGATACTCGCGTCGGTTATATTGAAATCCACGGCTTTGATTATACGCGCCTTGGGTATACGCGTCAATGCTCCTAACCTCCGAGCTACGAAACTCTTAAATTCCGAAATGCTGGTCTTACGCATAACCTGTTAAAAATATTTTTTTGTAGGATCTTATACCATTTCTATCTCCTCAACAAGAGCATGTTTTGGTTTAGGGTATGTAATCCTTTGTTTTACACATAATAGATGATCTAACAATGAGATTGATTAATAAAAAAAAACTGACTTGTAAAGTAAAACGCAAGTGCGTATTCGTTAGTCAATTAGGTCATACCTTAAGGAAAGTTAAATATTCACACAGAAAATTTTTTTTTTAGTCATTAAGTTAATACAGAATGCTTAAAATTTTTTATTAAACCTTAGTTGGTGTTATAAAGAAGTATTTATAAATAAAGTTTGTATTATCTGTTTATTGCTCTGATTGATGAAGACAAGTTTAACAGGCGAATTTTGGGTCATTTTCAAGTTATGTCTAATTTCGTGTTTCATGGTTCTTATTGTTTTGTACTTTCTTTAAACTTACCATAATAGATTCGCTATCCCAAAATTTGTTTTTTTCTCTGGTTTGTGTGAATTATTAGTTTTCGTATTTGTAAGTGTCCTTTCCCGTTTGTTAAAGATATTTGTGGATAATACTTTGCTATACTCTCTTGTAGTTTTCTTGAAAAGTTGAAATGTTTAAAGTTTTTCTCTCGTAATTACCTCAAAGTTTTAGTAAACTTATTCACTAATTTATTGTGATACCCTTTCGAGTTTAGAAGTGAACCTAAGCAAAAGCAAAGGTTAACTTAGGACGTTTCAAGTTATATATTGTCAATCTTTTCTTATTTAAACAATCTTTTCCTCAAGAATATAGTACCTACGTCCCCTTTTTCCTTGAATAGAATGTTATTTGTATTTTTTTGTCCTGTCAGTTGTTTATAGTTACTTCAGGGTCCCTAAACGGTATGAGAAGGTCTGCCTCTAACACGTGCTTTATTTTGATTACAAAACCTCCTTCACGTGCAGGCTTGAGACTTCGTATGTTTGTCTTGCGGGCACGATAAGATTTATAAAGTGTAAGTAGCCTCTGAATGGGAAATATTGATCATGCTAACTTTTCACGAGGAAGTAGACATCGGACTTTTCATTTTTGACACTAAACTACAAACTTATTACTATCCTTGCCCTTGCGGTGATCAATTTGAGATAACTTTGGTATATTCATACATTTGTTTTTATTAATTTTTTAAAAGTTAAAAAAGGTTTTATAAATTTACAGGAAGAACTTTTAGATGGAGAAGATTGTGCTTACTGCCCTAGTTGTTCTCTTGTAATACGCGTAATACTCCCAGAGGTTTTATATTGTTTCTTTTACATATTTTACCCTCACTCTACCCCTTTGAAAGGATTACGTATTTCCTAGGGAACAGGAATTTGGTAAATCGCCTATAGTTACTTAACTTAAAAGTTAAACAAGGTTTATATATACAATTATAGTTTAGCTTTAGTCTGTTTTGCAAAGTATTTTAAAATAAACTAACTACTTTTTTCTCATTAGGTTTAGTTAAATTTGTTCTTTTCCTTTTTTGGCCTTTGGTTGAATACTTTTTTAATAACTTTTTTTTTGTATCAAAATGGCTTACTTTTCTGGATTTCTTAGAGTAGTTAAACCAGTTCTTTGTTTTATCTTTACTAACTTTTGGGTCAGTTGAAGCCTTGCTTGTTTTTCTTAAAACTTTTACTAGGCCAGGTATTGGTGGACTGTTTAATTTTTATTCGAGTTCTTTCTTGCTGAGCATTCCCATTATGCTGATTTTCATTAAAAGGAAACTATAATACTTCTAGGTTTTGTTGCAAATATTTATTTTTCACTCCCTACTTTCGAATTTACGGAGTAAGATTAAATAATATCAACAGTAAATTCTTGTAAGCTGTTTAATTTATACAGCTTCCAACGGTTTTTAAACCTCCACTTGAGATTAATTTTTTAACATCATATCTGTGAGGTCTTTTCTGGTGTTGGTGTATAATTAGTACTAAAAGCTTTCAAAAAATAACTTGTTTTTGAACTTTACCGCCCCCAATTTAGTGTATTGAGCCATGGTTACTTTGTAACAACCTCTCCAGAGTTTATATAGTTAATCTTATTTTTGTACAACTCTTATAATTTTTAAATTTATTAACTTATTATTTTTGACTACCTACTCCATTACGTTCGTTATGGAATAATTAGAGCCGTTAAGCTGAGACACGGGCGCGTGTATTCTAAAGAAAGTTATTGAAAGTTGAGTTTTGGTTGCTAATAACTATAACTTTTATAGTTGAAAGAATTCTACACTACTGCTTCGTCTAGTACATAAGTGCTGCTTATAAATGGTTGGTTATCCTTAAAAATTATTAAAAATATATTTTATCAAGAAATGGAGTGAAGATACTGGTATACGCTGGTGTAGTAGAGCTTTTTTGTCTAGTTAAGGGGTTGTTTCTCAGGAGCTAACATTTATGTGCCTGTAGGAGGCTTTTATTTATGATCGATTTCTTCATGTCTCATAATCCGGTAATAGTTTTGTGTTTAGGTTTTTCCGTAGCTGCAGTGCTTACAATTGCTAAGTACAATATATTCAACTTACAGAAATGGAAGAGTTTATTTTAAAAAATAACTCCCTAAATTCCATATTACCTTAGCTCGGTGCACTAAATATTATAGTAAAGTTTAAAAAAAAAATTCTTGACTTATCGGTGTTCTTTTATAATATAAAAAACTTGAAATAAAAGTATAATGAGATAGAACGGAATCACAAAACTAACGGTATCTAAAAAATTTATTTTTATTTTTATTGTATTAAGTACGAGAGTTGTCCTTAAAAATAACCTTGAGCGAGCCTTTCTATAAGATATATTCCCAATTTTCTTGCGTGCCGGTATATACAAGATTTCAGCTTTTTTTTTTATTTAAAAACATTAAAATTCTCCCGAGAATGTGGTTTACTTATTAAAATGAAATATATGTTCTGAAGGAAAGAAGTGGTGAGAGGAAAACGTTTGTTTTAAGTTAGTCGTACTAAAGTACTTTATAGATATTGATAGCTAAAGTCCCGACCTCGCTTATAACGAACTGTAACCAAGGCTCGTTAAATCCAAGGCCACCAAGGAGTGGGAAATATTTGCAAAAAATAAGGTCAACTAAAAATTTTCTTTTGCTGATTATCCAGTCAATAAAGTATTTTTGGTAAACATTTTTTCAATTCGGGACCGAAAGGTTTGGTTCGATAACCGAGGGCTCGATTTAAGCGAGTTTATTACAGGCGAGGTTTCCTATAAAAAAAAGGTAGAGTAACGGTCGAGAAGGTAAACAAGGCTTTAAAATGTTAAATTAGGGTTAAGGAAGAGAAGTTTATAATCAGCTTAACTTTATTGTGCTCCTTTGAAATATAATGTAATATATATGCAATAATACTTATAGTTATTCTTGAAAATTTCAATTTTTGTAGAAATGCAAATAAAATCGTACAGACGGACTAAACGTCTTTAACTGCAGTTTAGTAAGTTATCATGAAAACCATTAGACACAACGAGGCAAGTGACTGCTACTATTGGAGGAAGTAAAATAACTATTGAAAAACTCTGAATTGACTAAGTGATTTTCTTAATAAAAAAATTTACTCAGTCTTCTATAGGAGGGAAAACTATTGAAAGAGATAGCCCCAGAAAACCTTTTTTTATATTGATTTAATAAAATTATTTAATGTCTGCTTTGAAACACCGTGTACACTGTGAACATAATAATTAGCGGTTTAAGAAGTATACAAAGATTAAACTTATCTTCTTGCAGCAGTAGAGCGAAATATCCCTTTTTGCTGGTCACTATTCGTGTATATATTAACTACGAAACAGTATCCTGGCTTTTAGGGATAACTGAATTTTTTTATAATTAAGTAATGCCTATTTTAACTTAATATTATAACTTTTAGTATATTATAAATTAATTTTTTAATTAAAGTTAAGAGGAGCCAAGATAAAGGAGGTTTACCTTAAAAGGATAATTCATTATGATAGTTTTGGCAAATATTTACTTTTAACAAAAATGTCTGGCACGCATATTTAAGTATAGTTTACAAAGTAAACCTTGTAAGGTAACTAATATACTGAATTTAATGAAACTGAGACAAAAACCAGATTATATATAATTCCGTAGGCGTTTATAAAAATGATATACGAGTGGCGTTTAAAAATGTATAAAATTTAGTACTCTGAGCTTTTATTTTTAATTTTAAATCTGGGCCCTAATTTTTTTAATGAAAAAATATTCATACCAGTTACAGTATATTATTAAGTAAATTATTTTAATGCAGGCTTGTAAGTAATTAGAAAAAAATTTTAAGAATGAGCTACTTTGGGGATTTACAAGCTAAGCTAAATAATATATCCTAGCTGATAATATAGTTGTGATTTATAACGCCATAATAAATTGCTTAAACATTTTCTTAAGTTATTGCTCTATGAGATCTTTTTATTAAGATCCTTTTTATTATTAATTAATTAATCCTAAAAACAAATTTTTACTGCTTAGGTGACTAAGAAGCCGTTTCGAATATATACGTTAAGATCTTGGTCTTGACTTTTAAACTACTACCTTTTCATTAATAGGTTTAAAAATTATTTTATAGTAGTTACCATATTTGCTGCATTTATGTGTTCAAACTGCTAGCTTTTCTATATAGAATTTTCTACTAACCTGCTGAGCTCCTTGGCCCAATTTTTAAATTGTCTTTCAACTGTCCGCTTAATTCCACTTTGAAATAAAAAAAAATACTAGAGGATAGTGGTGAAAGCTTAAATATAGACGAGCTTGGTAGTTATGAGTTCGTATGTTCCTGCTCTATTCTTATAAAGACTTACATGATAATTATAATATTTAACGTGGTTTTATAAAAATTTTAAATCAGCTTATTTTCTAAGTCGTAATTTATAAAATGACAAGTATAATGGAACTAAATGAAAAATTCTACCTTAAAAATATTTTTATAAACTTTTATCTTTTTACATATTACAATAGATTTTTTCTCTTTAATGGAATTAAAGAAAGAAATAACGGATACTCATTGCTATAGAATTCAGCCGACGCCACGTTTCCGAGCAAGCGCGCGAGAGTTTTGCTTTGATCCACATTATTGCTATGACAATTGCGCAGGACCGAAAGCTCTCGCAGATATTACGTACTTAAAAAAGCGATATAGCCCTACGAAAGAGAAGGACTATGCTAACAACGATCGCTGGTCTTATTGGAGCCTAAATCGTATAAGTGACAAATATTCAGATAAAAATTTGTGTCAGCGAGGTATTGAAGAAGACCATCACAAGTGGTGGGAAAGTAAGCTACAGAAAAAGAAGGAGGACCGGAGAAGGCCCATTTCCCATAATGCATATTGCTCGGGGTACGCTGAAAACAAAGAGAGCAATGGCTTTAGCAATGGCTGCTATTTGGACCAAGTGAATTACAGTAACCACAAATCTATAGCTAACGGCGAAGCTTGTTGCTATTGCAGTGGAGGTATACATGAACGCCTGTTACAACTTGCTGCATTCCTGCCGAACTGCGAAACTAACTCGCCCGAAGACGTGGTCATCTTAACTATCGAGTATATTAACCGCCTTCGAGAATTGGTCAACGGGAAGTCAATCTCCAACTCTTGCGAAAAAAGAGACTTAAATAAGCAAAAAACGTTATCATCATTCCATGGAAACTGCTGCACAGAGCTTCCACATCAAAAATCACCTTATTATATAGTCTATAATAACGAAAACTTTGAACAAAACGAAAATTTCGACAGATTCCCTGGTAAAGAGAACACTAAAAAAGTAACATACCCCACAGCAATAGAACAAATAGTAGACGAAGTTAATAACAACAGAGTTACGATAAGCATTAATAGAGGCAGTCATGAACCTTATTGTTAATAGTAAAACGAGATAGATTTTTACAATTTAATTCTTAACGATTAAGCGAGCCGAAATATTTAACTCCTGCAATATTTTTAGCTATTAATAATTTTAAAAATGATATTAATCATTAATAAAGTCATCTAATTTTATCAAATAATCACTGATAGTCTATAAGTAAAGGCCCAAAGTTTTATATTTACTCTTCACCCTTTAAAACAAGATGATAGCTATAAAAGACAGGCCTTTATTCAATAAGACCATCTACAATGACTTGCTTAGTTAAAAAAAGCAAAAGTGAAGTTAATTTGACAGTAAAAAACTTACATCTAATCTAAATTATTGCTACCTATAAGCGAGCGTCTAAGTTAGGCATGAAGGGTAAATTTACAAGTTAAAAGTTCAATGCCTCAATTTTCGCGTTGTATTACTCACCAACTAACTTGATAATTACAAGTTAATATAAATATTAGATGAGATCTGCATATTCTAATAACATTAATCGCACGCAAGTGAAGGTGCCTTTTTAGATTTGCAGTTAATTTCAAGAAAAGCTAAATATTACTATTTATGAAGCATAGGGCTTCATACTTTATTATTGTTCTATAAAGCAAAATTTTGTTTATGGGTTTGGAGTTGGGGAAGTTTATAAAAAACTACGGACGGTATTTTAAATTTTTTTGTGTAGGAGCTTCTCGCCCATAATATATAATTATAGCGTAATTGAGTCGTTGTATCTACAGTTGCTCTCTAACAGAGGAGTTTGACACTATAAATATATAATATTTGCGCTTTGGTAAGGTTAAAATAGTATTTTTAAAAACCAACATCGATACATATTAAGTCAGTTACACGACAAAGACATAAAGGTACTGTGCAGTACCATGCAAAGGCACTCCACTGCAGGGGTACCTATCCCACCCCCATACGCAGAGTCTTCGCAACTAACGTCACCAATCCTATTGCACAAGTATCTACATTGCCATCTTTCCGCGCTTGCCGACTGCTACCGTAGATGTAAAATTACGATTATCGAGCTGAAGGGTAAAGTACGAATTTAACTGCATCCCCACTGCTTCTGTTCTACGATTGGCGTGGTAACTTCTTGTTCCTTAGCAACCATATGGGTCATCATCTTCGACACTAAGTTCTCGTGACGGCGGCACGTTAAATACGTATGGAAGAGATTATATCATATGCTCTAATTAGCGCTAAGAGTAAACTTACGTGAGCAGCAAGCGGCACGGCATTTGTTGTGAATCCGTCGATGAAACTGCTTTTGGGACGCCTGTAATAGCGTCCTCGCTTCATGTGAAACAAAATAAGCCGTGACACCATAACGAACGTGTTGTGTTCGACGCGATAATTTAAGTCAAGCTGCCTGGATAGAACCGCTGATTACCATTTATTTTGAAATAGCTATCCGAATACACCAACCAACCGCTGGCATGCAATTTTAGTTACGAAAATTGATGGCGTAATGTGCTGAGTTTCTTGTAATAATTAAAGTATTTAATTTCATACTATTGAGCACCAGGTATGGCATTATTAAATAAAGCAATAAACACATATGCAAAACTATAACATAAATTAAAAAAATGATAATTAAACTATATTTAAAATTATTACAACTTCTAACACGAAAAATTTTAAAGTCTCTATTATGCAAGGAGGAGGAAGAAAGCGAAATCACTAAGAATTCAGTGGGTTCATACTTGGTCGTCGTTGCTTTGCGCTGGCGTAAACTCGGAGGTTAATGGCTATTTGCATGGCTCTCTTTTTTTGGTCTTTAATGGTTTTGTAAGAAACTTCGCCCCAGATAATTCTGATATAATTACTGCTACCTGCTTCTTAAATCTTTAAGTTATTTTGTTATTACAACCAGAGGTTTATAAGTTATTGGTAATTAAAATGTCACTTTTGTCATTTCTGATCTTTACTCTACAAAACGAGCCCCCTACTTAATTTTTTATTCAGTTATTAAACGATTATTTTTATAGCCAATAATGAGTACGTAATTTTAACTATTATAACCTTTTAAAAAGAAACGTAGACATACTTATATAAAAGCTAACCTCACTCTTTTTAGTTTTATTAATATTCTATTAGGTTAATTTTTTTAATTTTTCTGAAATTATAAATAACTCTGATCTTGTTAAATTAATGCCATATAATTGATTTATCTTCCCCTTCAAGTAGGCGTTCACTTTTGGCGTGGTAAAAAACGGACCTAAGTAATATCGACCCTTCATTTTACCTTCATTCTTAAACTAGAGCATTAACAAATAAATGTGAATATTCTTGTGCTGATGGAAACTCGGTATACAGAGTTGCTTTACGCCCACAATTGACGATTAACATGGGAAATTGTTTCTCAGGATATCTGCTAATGTCTACTACTTCTTAGGCCTTTTAAATGATTTTATTGTTAAAGTTAAAGCATTACTAATTCCTTTTTAAGGGGGTACAACTGGTTAAAACATATACCACGTAACCTAATCTAGTTGATCCTTTTTAAATAAAGCGTGCTTCATTAATGTTAAGGTTCGCTCTTGTTAGCAAAAAATTACCAGTGAATAGCAAAGGTTGAGTAGCTATCGAACAGCCAAATGAAACATTGGGACTAAAAAATGTATACCGCACCACATGGGCCCGTTCTAGATTTGTATTATATATTTCTTGTACTGAAAATTCCAGTATTATAAATAGGAGAGTTAATGAGTAAAAAAAGACTAGTTTCTTCTTCTTATCGCTCGTCTAGTTCACCCATAAAAAAAGCTAAGGTATCTAGGCTTACAGACACAGACGAAGTTGTAGAAGAACACAAAACCGATGATACTACTAAAGCAGTTGGTGAAAACTGTGTAATTTTTATTTCCAGTTCAAAAGCTGAAGGAACTTTTGTTACTTATAGGTGGCTCTGAAGAAAATGAAGTTCAAAAAGATCCATTTAACGCAACTAGTACTCAAAATACAACAGAGGAAGGGCTTAACTCACCTAACTTTGAAGAGAATGGTCCAATTTTTTCCCCGAAATTATGTTTAATATAATCACCAGTATACATCTTATATATACAGTTATACTATTTTTGAAACGCTTTCTAACAAAGCCTATTTTTGTTATAATATTATATGTTTTAGCTTCAATCTCTTGGACGGGTTATGTAACTCAGGATCGCAGTCATTCTTGTCCTTACCTGGACACCATTGATAGGTTTTTTAATTAGCTAATAATTTATTTATAATTTTTAAGCCTAATATAATACTTTAAAATAATTATATATTATTATTTAAAAAATTTTTATCTGGTGTAGAGCTCGCTTGGACTTCGATTTTGAAAAGGTGTGTTCTGTGTCGATGATGACTCAAAACGTTTATGCTTGTCTAGTTTGCGGAAAGTACTTTCAAGGTTATAAGGAAGTTATTATATAAAGAATATATAGAAGTTCACTTAGTATAAACTTGTCTGTGTTCCGTTCTGTCCTCATTAATTTTTCTTTAGGGCGAGGAAAGGGTACACACGCCTACAATCACAGCGTTACGGCAGACCACCACGTTTTTATTAATTTACAAACGTTGCGGGTGCGTCAGTTTTCATATTTTAGTAGTGTTTTCTACAAAGTTTAAACGTAGTTCTACTGTCTTCCTGATAATTATGAAGTTATCGACAATTCCCTACAAGACATCAAGGTTAGTCCTTGGCGTCTTCTTTTTTTTTAGTTTTTGCTATTTTTTTAAACATTAGCGAGTTATCAATCCTAAATTTGAAAAGAAGGATGTCAAGATTCTCGACAGCTTTAGTAGAACCATCCGTTGTCTAGATGGGTCAACATACACGTGCGGTATGGCACATACCGTTTGGGCAAATCTGCCTCTAGATTGGTGATGCGGTTTTTTTTAAGGGGTGATGGGACTGAATAATATAAAAGCGAATGACTATGTTAATGTTGTAGTGCAAGCGATTATGAGGTGCAAGAGATTTAGAGACTTCTTTCTCTTTCCTGCGCATTATCAAACCTGCACTCATCCTCTCGGTAACCCTTATGCTTCCTACGGGGAGTTGTCACGCTGTGCCGCTCGGCCTTACTGAAACTATCCGCTGCAGTGCTGCGGACAGGCGAGTTGGCACGTAAACTTTGGTGCACGGACAACTATAAATCACACATTAGTCCGCACGAGCTTCTACAGGTATTTTCTTTCCTTTCTGTTTTTTTTTTCCTACTTTAAACCCTCCAATTAACGAAGGCCGTCGTCAACACCAGCCAGAAACGCTTCCAAATAACCAAGCAGAGTGAGGCGGTCGACTTTCTAGTTTGGTACCTTAACACGCTCAGTCAACAGCTCTCTAGAAAAAAAAACACACCAGGTGCATTTTTTATACCGTCGCTCGTTCGTTATTAGATCTAACCCTGCATGGCTGCTAGATATCGTTGCTGAGTGCTTCCAAGGAAAGATGGTGATGTCATCTCGGCGGATGGGCTCGAAAGAACTCCTAAACGATGCAGTAAAGCTCACCTTAAGCATCCTCGCGCCTGGGAAGGGTCGACTTGAACTTTTCTACACCGGCAGGTCGAGCAGGAGAAGGCGCAGGCAGCCGAGGATGCCCACGAGGTCTTTGACACGAAACTTGAGAAGATACCGTTTTTGTATCTTACTTTGGGTGCTTTACTTTCCGAAGCGCCTTCCATTCAGCTCATTTTACTTTACTTATCGTTATCCTATAGACGTCCCTCCACCTCCTCTCTACGTGGACATTGAAAAGGACGACATAATTCCACAAGTCCCGCTATTGGATCTCTTCAGAAAGTTTGATGGTGTGACTGAGCAGGTGCCTTTTTCTGGCCATCCGCTAGATTCTTCAGTTTACATGACCTACTGTAGAAAAAGGGGAGCCTTGCACACACTTACAAGATCACGAAGATCCCCCGTTACTTAATTCTGTACATCAAGCGCTTCACTAAGAATAACTTTTTTACGGAGAAGAATCCGACCATCGTAAAGTTCCCGATTAAAAATCTCGACCTGGAAGACTGTAAGCCGCATACATTGCCACTTTTCTTGGGCTTCTCGAACTGGTGAATAGACTATAGTGTGGGTGATGGGGAGCCCGCCCGATACGACCTTCTTGCGAATGTTGTTCACACGGGGAAGCCCAGTCTGCTTGGCGACAAGACGGCTGCCCCCTCGGAGGGGGGAAGGTATAAGGTTCAAATTCTGCATAAGGTACCCATTTAAGCTTGAGGAGGAGGGGAGGGCGTTCCCTCTCACGTGGCTTTCTCCGTCCTTTGTAGGCCACCGGCAGCTGGTATGAGATCGAAGATCTGCACATCTCTGAAGTTTCGCCTCAAGCTATCTCGATATCGGAGGCTTATCTCCAGATATACGAGCTGGTGCACACTTAATAAATGCAAAGTATGCAGTTTGCCAGCGTTGGTGAACTGTTATTTATTTATTAAGTGAAGTTTTGGAGTAAAGTATTATTTTCTTTTGGTATTAAATTTGAGTGATTCCATCCTGTTTGTAATTTATACTGTTTGTATAACTTTAATTGCTTTTTAAAATGATAAAAAACCGCTTAGTAGGTTCCAATGCTCTCTGCAGCATCCTTATAGGTAGCGCCTCTGTAAGGAGGGAGAGCAGTAGGTGAAAGTCTGCAGTGTAAGCTTCAGAATGCTGAATACCTTGCGAGGAGGAGACTATTAAGCTTCCATCAAAACCAGCAGGCGTTCCAGCAGTTTTGTACTGTTCGCTAAGAGGTGTCATCGCCCTAAACAAAAAATTCACTGCGATTAGTATAAGTATGAAAGGCTCCTCTGGCTTACTTACGAAGGCCTGAGGCCGTCCACGGAGGGCACCACTTTGCTGGCTTTATGCTCCAGTAGAAGATCGATCAACTCTTTGCTCTCAAGCTCGTAGGCCAGGTGGAGTGGGGTGATTCCCTACCGCAGGCTGTTACAGGGGTTTAAAAAAGATTCACACTGATTAAACTAACATGCTTATTTGAGACTGTTGCGGGATGCCCGCGAGCTAAAAGAATTTTTGCGAGATTTATATCTTTTCTTTTGATTGCAAAATGCAACGCTGACTGTGGCTTTATAGTTAGTTACTACGCAAGTCGTCACAAAAATAAACTTACACACTATAACAAAGACGAGTTACGCGCTTTAATAACCGGAAGGATTATAACTCAGGAGTTAGTTAAAAGTAAAAGTTAATTTATGGTATAACTTTCTAACTTTTAGTATGAAAATAAGTACTAAGTTAGCTTAGTTACATAAGAATCAATAATAAAACACGTACACCCCAAATCTGGTCAGTGGTGTGCACAATATAAGGCTCTTTGTCTAAAAATTTGGTTATTCTATTAATGTTACCGCAAGCTGCCGCCAAAAGAAACTGTCTTTCAATCTAAGTTGGGAGAAACAATGAGATGTTTTCAAGGGCTTTCTTTAATCTATAAAACTAAACGACATTAGAAAAGCAGTTAATGTTACCAGAGTTTTGCCGACCAATTGAGCCTCACCTTTTGAATATTTTTCAAAACTTGATATTTGAGCAGATACAGCTCCGAGATGAACTTCGGCATCGACTTTACCTTGGGAGCTTTCTTCCATAAACAACTGAAACAAAGTAAAAAGATAAGAATAATCCGCTCGAGAATAAAAATAGAAAGGAAGTATTCACTCCAGGTCCTACTTCAATATCTTCACCGACGAGCATGTTACACTAGAGCTTGCTAAGCAAAATTTGAGGTTCTTAAACAAGTTTGGTCTTCTCGTTGGACCATTAGCTTTACCCCGATATGGTTGGCCAGCTTCTTTGCCGGAAAACTGTGGCTTTTGTGCGACTTCTTTTAGTAGATACTATCGAGTAGGTTTTATTTACTTTTACGGGATAAGTGGGTCATCTTCTAGCCATTTTACAGCTAGTCTGCTTTTTTGAAAATTATCAGTATAAGGACTTTCCGATAAATATAGAACTAATTTTATATATTGCGTAATATTATTAACTTAAATTTATTGAACTTTGAAAAGCTTAAGTACTAGTTAATAGTTGAGTTCTGATAGATTCTGTTTGATCAATTTTTTCTTTAAAAAATAGAGTAAGTTATTTGCTATTAGGTGATCATACTAACAAAAGACGACTCGAAATAAATAACAAAGCGAGTTAACGACCGTAAGTCAAAATTTCTTTATTAAAATAATGTTATGAAGCCCCTCCTGATGGGATATAAGGTACAACAAACTCAGAATTTAGACCTGATAGTAAGTTTTGCTTTACTTATGCGTCTTCAGACGGTTAAAAGCCGTATAAGAGTGGTGGAGTAAAGGCAAAATTGAACGTAAAAATGGTTATGGAAATAGAAAAAGTTACGAAAGCACGCTGTCAAAAACTCCGCGGCGCAACCTTAAAAATGTTCTTTCTGTTTTCCTTTTTTCTTGCTTTTTTCTACAAACAATGTGTTGTACGCCTCTTCATAGCAATACAAAAATAAGGGGTTCAATATAAGTTAACATAGTATACGGTAAACTGCTGGCCTACAGTTAAAAACAAAGTAGTGTTATTACGTATAATTAAACCAAAGAATATTACACCTCTGCAAAATAACGTTTACAAATAATGTAAAAAAAAGGTTTAAAGATTATGGTTAGCGCATGCAAGTTAATATAAAATCCTTTACACCATCGCAAATATTTTACGTTACCCGAGAAAAGTAAACAAAGTTGACATAAGCTCGCTCAAGTAAGGCGTAAGCTTTACAATAAACCGTAATAAGTTTTAAGAATAACCTTTCTCTTAAAAATTTTTATATTTCCGATTAGGTACAGTATACAGTAGAACTTTTAAACAAAAAAGTAGCGGTGTGACTATACCCGACAGGTATAATAAGTTAGTTTACAGCTTTTATTGTAATTGCGGGTGTAACGAAACAAAATAAAAAAGGCATATAAAACCTATGAAGGCTCATTAAAGCAGATATTTTAACGAGCGGTATGAGGTAACGTTGTGCAACTGGACGACTATAAAGATAGCTAACTGTTGTTTTCTTTTTCTGAAGGTTTAACAGGTTTTTGCCCGTCGGCAACTTGAACAGTGAAAGACGAATTGCACTTAATAATTGCTTTTTGTTGCTTTCTCTAAAAACAAACACTCTATTTTAGCTATACTAAATAAATAAAAGTTATCATATACTAAAACTAACAGCTTTAACTCTTAAGCGCTTTACTCTCTTCTTAGCGGCCGCTTTCTCTAGTTGTTCCTTATTTCTACTAACTCTTTCTTCGAATTCTTTGGCAGCATCTTCCTAAAAAAATGTTATAAAGATATATAAAATTCTTATAATTGACGTAAATATTTCGAAAACGAACAGATTTTTGTAAATTTTCAAAAAATTGTTGCCTTCTCATCTCTCTTTGCCTCGTAGAACGGAAAACATGGAACTCACCGCTACCCGCACCAGCACTAGAGCCTTTTCATATAAAAAGTTGTAGTATAAAGAACTGATTTTCGATTAAAAAGAATCGTGAGATCAACAGGAACCTGAAACATTTCGAAAGAATTCTTTAGGTTCTGAAAAACTTAAATTTTTAGGCAATATTTTCTGAATGCGAATGGGTTTGTCAATGTTCTTCATCATCGTCTCTATTTGTAATTTGTGAAGCTCGGTTACAGTTTTAGGAAGAGGTGCCGTGGACTTGGCCCAAACTTTAACGTTTTTTTTACTGGGAGAGCTTGTCATAATCTACATCTACTGTAGACTATGTGTCCTTGCATCCGCACATTTTCCGGTAGTCTTCAAAGTAATGGAAAAGAGCCCTTTTTAGTGGCACAACACGAGGTTGCTTAAACTCACCGCTCTTTAAAACAAATTAATGATTACTAATCAGCTTCTGTTGAGGCAAAAATTTGAATAAATTGTAGCATTCAAGTATTAACGTGTATAACACGTATAATAATGGCGAATAAATATATTTAATACAAAAAAGTTGTTAATGACATAAATATAAATGAAATATTTATTAAATTTGCATATATAAAAATTTTATAATGCTTATATATTATTGCATATTAATATTTTTAGGTAATAATATAATTACTAAATACAAAATATTAAAGAGAATCGTATATAATTAAAAGTCTATATATCTATATAAAATATCACATACACATATATATTTTATTCATTATCTAATAGTTATTAATATAATTTTTTTTTTAATTTTATCTCTCGTATGATCGATTTGGGCACGCTATTTATGCAATTTCCCGATTCTTTGCGCGAGTTTAATTCATTCCATTGTTAAAGTTATCTTCCTTCCTCGTAGGATTATGTACTAAAAGTATTATTAATGTTGACTAAAATGAAACTAGTTTAAGACCATACTTACGATCGACTTTACTCGGTCTGAATAATGAACATAACCGGGTAATAAGCACTATTTTTACCTATTTTGGGGTGGGATTCGACTATTTGTTCTTTATAAACAGGTACGCGGACTACGAAATTTACAACTCTTCTAAAGGGGTCAAAGAGTTCGAGCAGTGAAGATGTGCTGTGCTTATGACCAGTAATATACTAGTAAAAAAAAAATTAAATTTAGTGAAAATTGTTTTCCAGTAGCGCTTTGTCTTATTACTTTAAAAGTTAGCGTTAGTATGACCTTATAATTGTCATGATACTTTTTTCACCATGAAGGGAAAAAACCCATTCAGCTGCTTACAGTCTATCTAACCTTTCGCAGCATCCATCTAATCTAATAAATGTCTTCCAAGTAAGCCCGGATAAGTACCTAAACAGCGAAGTTTTCCCTCAGCCGGACCTGCCTCTTTTTGCTAAGCCACCATAATACTTAGAAACTGCTGTAAATTTAGTAGATAGGTTGCTTGCGTAAAAAATAAGCAAGTGAGCCCCTTATAAATGTTCATGCTGTCTCAAGTTAATAAACTTCTATAAAAAAATTATTTTTCAAAGCTTGCTTTTATACACGAATCAACGGCGTGGCGAGTTCAAGTTGTTATATAAGTTAAGTCATACTGAAGTTGAAAGTTGCTGTCGCCTTAGCACAGTAATTAAGAGCATTAACGCGCGGCTCTCAAGTCCGGTATGATGGTTTCACATGCAACCTTATAAATAAGATCCGAACAGGCTTATGACATTTACTTTCTGCAGTTTGCGCTGAAATTAATCTCTTCGCGGATGTCCTTTATAAATCTTCCATGCAATTGCTGAAATCTCTATTGTGAGAAACCCAGATAGACAAGCAACCGAACGAAATTTTACCTTCCACACTGCGAAAAAAAAGTATAGGATAAGTCAAGTTGACCTCCATTAACCAATAAATGAGTATATTTTTTAAACTAGAGAGCAGTAGTCATGTCGTCTTTACTACTTTATAAATTTTAAAAAAAAAAGTTTGCAAATATAGAAGTATACACATAGTTTCCCTGTGTATATTGCAGAATGGTGGCTAATTTTACCCATACCCGTCTTTTGGCTAATCCTTAATAACGATAGGGGGGAGTTGTGCATAGCTCGGTCAACTTTTATCTGTTATTCAACTACTGGCAAATTTTTACCGTTCGTTCGTTAATCTTATGGCCTTATTCTCATCCTAACCGAGTTAAAAAATTATTAAACTAGAATAGAAACACGATAAATAGTAGTTGAAGATTGAAGCATGGGCAGCAACTCCTCTAAGTCTAACAAGCGCTGTACATCTGGGAAAAATTCCTCTACTAATAGTTTTAAAAATGAAAAATATATTATTCAACGTGGAAATAGTTACTTGCATCCAATTTCTGAAGTTTCCTCTAAATTTCACAAAAATAGCTGCATTAACCTTGAAAACAGGAGTAATATTGTTGGCTTAGATAATAACACTAACCCGTGTGTATATAATAATAACGAGCTTAAGATTTCTCCTGATCTTGACAGTGGTATTGAAAACTTAATTGTAGCTCCTTGCGGAAATAAAACAAGTATTAGTAATCCTATACCAAAAAATCTTAGCAGCAAGAATCGGGCAAAGAAAATTTTAAACTCTTCAGTTTCCTCCAGTAAGTTAACTTTTCTTTTATAATACTTACCTCTTAATAAGTAGGCTAACTTATTTACCTTTTAAGGCAGCCTGGATACATATAAAAGTTGCAAAACTCACTTAAATAACCAGTTTTATGAACTTACGACATTGGAAAAAACAAAAGTTAGAGTATCTCCAACACTTCCTCATATAAGTGATAGAGTTAAAGGTGGAACAAAAAATAAAAATTGGATAGAGCTAACATATTACAAGAATATTTCTACCGCCTTTTATGACTCCGTTTTCCTTAAAAGTTGTTCAAAATCATTTACCCTTTGCTTACAATTTTTAAGACAAATAAATAATTTGAAAAGTTCCAAATTTAAAAAGAAAATTAACTTTTCCGGAACCTTAAGCGCTATCTCAAACAAACTTGACTTTACTTCAATAAATAATATACACCAATTTAACAATTGCGACTATAATAAAAATTTTTGTGTTAATAATAACCTTACAAGGAGCAGTAGTGATGTTAACTTGAATAGGCTTCAGAAAGAGGAACGTCGTGAAATTATTATTTTTTATATTACTTTCCTCAAACAGACAGCTACACAGCCGGAATTGGAACAAACACTTTTAAGGTTATCGCTTGCCTAGAATAAAATTTACTTATTTATTTTTTAAACAATTAGTATAGCGGTTTCCCTTTACGGCCATTTTTATTTATTACGTTTTAATGAAGCTGATTCACTATTTTTTGACGAAATTTTCAACGAAAAAAAATGCCCTATAACAGTATTATTATGCATAAAATATCTAAAAATTAACTCTTAATATATTATGTTTTCACCATAATTTTTTAAAAACAATTCGCTAATTGCATAGAAATATGCGAAGGAGGAACTCGAAATCACGCCCACCATATTTGAAATTTTTAAATTTCTTTTAGCTTTTTTCCAAGTTGCTGCTCTGAAAGCCAATATCGGACTTGTGACGATGATATATGTTACTCGGCTTGTGACAAGCAGTCTTGTTCTTCATCCTTTAAGCTATAAGCGAATGGCACGATTTCCAATAATTTGAAAAAGTCCAAATTTATTAAATTGTTTCGTAGATTCTTGGCTCAGCGTTAGTCGCCTCTAAGGTATGGGAAGATCAAGCCGTTTGGATTAGCGACTATTGCCCTGTGGGACTTTGTTTATTAAAAAACTGACTTTTTTATCATAAAATATTTATAACTAACGACCAAACTTTAAATCTTTTTTATAAACAAATTAAACACTTCTTGTGATATTGTGTATTTCAAATTCAGATTATGCCGGATATTTCCGTGGAAAATTTAAACAAATTAGAATATTCAGTTTTAAAGGCATTAGATTTCAATATAAACATAACAACAACCGAATATACTCTTCATTACTTTAACCTCAGACGGTAATATGTGGTTGTAATCGAAAAGTTAAAAAGCAGGTTAACAAATTAATTTAAATTTATACAGATTTTTGCAAATTCAAATACAGTATTGCTTCTCGGGAAGAAACTAATAAAAATTTATAGTTTATTATGAGCAGCTTTTGTACTTATTATTAATAAAAAAAGTATTATTTACTTGTTATTCTATTAGTTAAAACTTTAAAAGGTTAATAACTATTATCAAGATTACTAGTTAAGAGTATGTTTTTTTAAAAAATAATATGTGTACAAAATATGGTAATAAACCAGACCTTCAAACACACCTATTAAGTAATTATCAAAATATTGATTTTTTCCCTCTCTTAATATTCCCACTTATTAAAAATGACCCAAGTAAAAAACTCCAAAAATCGTTTTCTTTCGGATTCAGTACCTGTTTAAGCCTACAAAAACTAAAAAAAGTCCAAGTTTAAAGATCAAGAATAATATAAAATAAAAATTAAAGTTTCTGCTTATCAATAAAAAATTAAGTGGTAAAATAATATCAAACTTAATATTTTTGTCTGTACCAAGCAAACTATTATAATTATAACAATAAATTCTCTGTATTATAAAGCGCTTACGTTAATAAGCTCAAATATAAAACTAAGTAAACATTTAGGAACCAACATTAGTTTTTTTCCACGTACACCTAGCCGATTCACGGTCCACCAATCAACTATTTATTTAATCAGTTCGTTTGCTCACCACGAAAGAAAATCGCATGGCATTTGCTTATATGATGAAACCAATAAACAAACTTAAAAGATATTTGGGTTTGGGTTGTTTAGGCTTTTTTTTCTTGTAAGTTTTGTATTATGCCTGAATAATTGGTCGAAACTGACTCTAAGGAGTTGTGCGTAGCGCAAAGTTAGTTTAGAGTTTTTATAATTTTTGTGTGTGTGTTTATTTTTTTTGTTTAATCGTTATTGTTAACAGGCTGTTGAACGGGTATACTTTGCATCTCCTCTTTAATTTTTTTTTTTCAAATAATATGTCTAATTGGTTTTGTGTCTACTAATCATCAATACTTATAATCATCGTAGCTTTTAATTTTTACGTAAAAGTAATATTGTTTACATAGGCGTATTAATTTTTGATAAAATAATTTTTAAATTTCTAGCAATGGAGACGTTTTTAAAACATGTCTTGCCTGGTTTAGGAGCTTTAACCTCCAGCATAATGTACGGGTCTTCCATACCAGGTGTTTATAAAGCTAGGAAATTAGAAAAATTCAATGAAATGAATCCGCTTACATATGTCTCACTCTGCGGGTACTCATTCTGTAAGTTGGCTTTCGGCCTAAGTTTTTTTAAATTAATATACTTCTTTTATTATTTAGCTTGGCTAATTTACGGGTTTTCGCAGGAACCGTTTAATTTCTATCTTATAGCTTGCTCCTTTTTTGGTTTTTGTGCCTCCTTGTGGTGTTTCTTAGGCGTATATTCCCTTTGTACCTTTAAAAAACTGTTAATCTTGACGGAAGCTCTTTTTTTCTTTCTCATTATAGAACTTTTTTCCATCTCTTGCACTTGTATGCTACTTCCTTTTTTGAGAAGAAAACCGTTTATAGAGTATTCTATACTCCTTTGACCACTAATTATTTTTGAGAAAAATTTATTTTAGGTACGTATGTATCTGTCACTCAATCATATTCTACGCAGCTCCTTTTTCACGCATCATTAAAATAATTAAGGAGATGAATTCCATCTACGTTTACTTGCCTCTTGCGTTTGCTAACTTAGTGGATTTGAGTCTTTGGATGGCTTGGGGCGCGGTAGAGAAGGATTGGTTGTTTGTCATCCCTTGTTGTATAGGAGCGTTTTGTGCTGTTTGTCAAATAGTTGTTGGCTTGGTAATACCAAGGTATACAAAAAAAAGTTAAGCGTCCTTAAATTTAATTCTTTTAATGTTCTTTAGAAAATCTTTAACGAATAAGGAAGAAAAAGATACTGTAAGTAATGTAGGTAATTTCCTTACTGACTGGCGAAAGAGTGATTCTTGAAGTTCATATGGTTGGTGTTATGCCTGAATGTACTAATAAATCTTTGAATAGTTGCTACTGGAAGATTTGTAAACCATTCAAGGTAGGGTTGAAACTTGTGTATAATAAAGAGCTGTATTGTTTCAAAATTAAAGCAACTATTAAATTGATGGCTTTATTTTAAAAAAGTTTTTTTTAAATTATATATAAATTGTGTGGTCTAATTAAGAAACGAATATAAATTATATATATAAAGTTATACTGCTATTTTATTGAGGAAACAAGACTGCTTATAGAAACCAATGAAATGTACATTTTTAATATTTAAAGCATTGAACAGTAGGTAAACAATATTGTTTGGTAAAGATTGTAAGTACAGCTAAACTGTCTGGTTAACTACAACTGTCTTCCTGTTTCTGGTCCTATTTTTTGTTTTTGTTTCAATGTAGCTTCTCTGAGCAATGTAATTTATGAATTACTTGGATAATTGTAATGATAACTTCGATAAGCCGGCCATTGCCGCATCCTGTAATTAAAGAGTGAGATAAGAGTTATACTAATCGAGTCTTTCTCCTTGTAGTAATAAAACCGAGAAAGTTGTAAACGCGGACATATTACAAAATATTGAGTTAAAGTTGCTCTATTTCCGAAGCAAAACTTATCACTTGGAAAAAGGGTAAGCACTTTATCTATGCTGTATTTTTGCCAGTTTGGATGGTTTCTTACACTTATATCTGAGTTTACTTTCAAGCATACATCAAAATAAATTTTGTGCGGAAGTTTTCCTACCGAATTACATATACTATTTTTCGAGAAGCTGCTGCTAACTTTGAATTAGGTCAAAGCTCGAAAAAGTTTTACTATTGTTTGTTTGAAAGCGTAATAAATTAGTAGAACTGTTTTTCTTAGCAAAGTTTAGCTAGTAGACTTAGCCATGCTTCAATTATGTTATAGTTTCATTGTATTATAATAATAGATAACCGGTCACACCTCTTGTTGTACAGTTTACACAAAAACTTGCCTAAAAGTTCTCATTAGAACAAATAAAGCGCTCTTGAAGTCTAACGTCTGTATACATTGTCAATTCTTTAGTATTTTTTAACCCTTTACATCTCCGTAAAAGCTTAAAATTTATTTTTAATGTTTCTTACTTTTGCTTCTGTAAGTTTTAAACCGTGCTTTTTTATTAAGTTGTGGTACCCCCCCGAGTGCACGAATTTAAAAAAGAAAAATTGCCCAGTGCACCCTTTTCCTGTTTGGTGTACTGAACGCATAATATTCTTGTGAGTTTTCTTAATCAAACACTTAAATTAGGCTCCTGGCTTCTATAGTGAGTTGAGTATTATATCATCCAGCTTACAAACTTTCTTTCCGGACACCGTACCTTAAAAACACAGCCTCTCACTTTTAACTTTGACCTCTGACTCTCCTTGAACTCGCGATGTTGTAACTTAGCCAAATAAAATTTGTGTACAAACCCTTTAAAATCCAATTATAGCTAGTTGTGGACTTTAGCATATTATCTGTTAATTTATTAGCACGTTAAAAATTGGACGCCCACAATAAGGGGACAGGAAATCAATTATTAAGGAATTAGCCCTAATACACTTCCTTACCTTACTAAATTATTGCATTTTGACTTTACAGAACATTCCTTATAAAATTATTTATTCTTCCAACTCCATAGAAAGTTAAATCTGGAGTTGGCGGGACTCAGCTATTGGGACTTTTAAACCCCTTCCTTAATATTATTAAAAGTTCTTACAAATTTCATAAAATATTGCCTAAGCACTAGTTTTCTCGTAATAACCTTATAGGAATAACATTAAAAAAAACTGTTTATTATTAAAATTGTAATTTATTATCTTAGGTGGCACGCAATATAACAGTTTTAGTTTATATGGATAATCTAGTAAAAAAACAGTTCCTTACTTATCTCGCTAATTTATATCAATTGATCAAGCAGTAAACGAATTTTTCTGGTATTCCTACAGCCTACGGATTATTCTCTTGCAGTTTAGTACTACCAAGAGAATCACTATAACTTTGTATACGAAGTCGAGGTACAAAAGTGTTCGCAGTACTGCTTAACCCTGACCCATACATTAGAGATCGAGTGACTATAGTGTTATAAAACTTTTTTAAGTACTGAACAAAATTTATCATAAGTAATTGTTGGCCAGCTCTCACTACAAATGACAGCAGTACCGCATATATAAAGTCTTGTTGTAGACGTTAGTACAGTGAACAAACTATAAACCTGCACATACTTTTGTTGTTGTTGGTCATGAGCCCCACTCGCGTAGTCTCTCCAATTAACTGTAGCACTTATAACAATAAATTGATATGAAGAGAGATAGCAATTTTATTTAACTGTACTGCAGCTGTACCCAAAAGAAAAGACGAGAGACATCTGCCGGTCTTCGAAAGAGTTTTAAACCGCTTAATCTAATTTCCCCACTCTCGGAATTTATGAGGGCGAATTAAATACGAGACTACCAAAGACCGAAAAAAAGGGAGTCCACCAGTGCGCGCTATTTATAGAGATATAATGACTGTCCGGAAATACTGGAAGAGCGAGGAATGCCCGGACTTCCACCCATTTGGGTCAAGTGGGTGGAAAACGCTGAAAACTACCACCAGGGGAGTCTTGCATAAACCCGAGGCCACCTGGAGATACCGGCCAACCGGGCTTCCCCGTTTTCTTTAGATAAGAGACTGCGTGCAGATCATCTGTATGATACATATATATTTACCTAAATATGGTAATATGCTTGCCCAATGCTTTCCACGTGCCCCCTTCCTGGACACATTTTAAAATCTTCAAATGCAAAATTTGCAAGAGTTAGCTTTCTATATTTGTTTAAAAAAACTAAAAGTTATTTTTACTATTGAAGGATATATTATTATAGTTTATAATGATAGATAACTCATTAGTACGTTTTAAATCGACTCTGTTTATTTTTTTTAATACTTGTAACTGGTTAATGTGGTCTAATTAGATAGCTGCAAAGTCACCAATGTTCATCGAGATCCTTATAAAGTTAAAAAAAAAAAGCGTTTAATTTATAGCTGGATAAATAATATATATAGGTTTCTATATGAGAAGTAATAGAATAACATATTTCTTCTATTTCAAGTCATTACTTATAAGCTGTAAGTAAGAAGTTTACAGAAATAAGTTATACTATAAAAAATATATCCAGCGCATAAGCTAACCCGTGCTTTATAAAGGCTCATTTCTAAAATAATCTTGATTTGATCAACGACTACCAAGCGAAGGTATTATAAAATATTTTTATATTGTTGAAATGAATAAAATACAGTGATTATTATTAATAGTTTACAAAAGCAATAAATTAACTTTTTTTTTTACAGATGCTAAGCAAAGGTTCCTTTATATTGTTGATTACTAAAGTAAATAACGAGTCAACATTATTTTTATACTAAATTCAAAAGCGATAAGAAGAGTTGTCTTAGTAACAAGAGTTAACAAAAGGAATATATCTTGTAAGGAATTTTTTTTAGAAACTTTACATATTAAATGATTATTTAATGCAATAGGTAATGAGCTAAGCTCAACCACCATTAATATTGTGAAATCAACAGCGCCAGTTTTAGCTAAAACTGGTTATGATATTACGAAGACCATGGTGTATAAATAACCACCAATGTTATAGCAACCTATTTTTACTCTTACTTTAACATAATAGTATAATAAAATGTTATCTGAGAATGCCGAACTGCGATTTTTATTTAATGCCTCTCATCAGTTGGAAATAAAGAACGAAATTGCCCATCAACCAAGAGCCTTAGTACTTTTCACGATGAGATGCTTGGTGGTTCATTAAAAGTTTTTTAGGCTTGCATGATGTATAACTACGCTGAAAATATTGACAATTTAAAATTATTGGAGAAAGCAATTGAATCAGTCGCACAAAAACATGTTTCACTTTTTGTTCTCCCAGAACACTATACTATTGTGGGAGAAAATCTTTTGTGGTTTTTTTTAACAGTTGAATAAAGTATGACTGGGAATCCAAGTTGGAACTTTTTATTAGGGCAATCAAAAAAGTGCTGGGAGAGAAAGCAACCATTCCCATCTTGCAGGCTTGGAAAGAAGCTTATTTTCACTTAGCTGGTTAGACAAAAAAGTTTTCATTCAAATTTTTAAACAAATTTTTAAACATATATTAAAACTGACTTCTTGTCTTTCTTGTGAAATGCCAACTTCATTCCTATTTTACAAAGTAGCTAAGTTGACTACCTTTATTTATATATAGCTTGCAAAACAATAACTTAGAGGGGCGGCCTTCTAAGTTGAGCAAGGCGTCTATATTTGTATAAAAGTTAACCCATAATATGAAACGAAAGAAGAGATGCTTTTTTTTAAAGATTCATTAGTATAAACTAAAGGGGGCTGGTGTATAGTTATAATAGTAATTGGCTAATATTAAACATCTCTAAGCTAATACTTTTCGAACAGTAGAATGAAATGTGGTGCTAGTGTTTTACAATAAGAATCTTTAGTAGCTGTTAATATATAAGTTGTAATTTTTCTTTTTTTTTTTTAATTGCTTAGGCATTTTTATTAAAAGAGAAAACGAAATTCGTACAAACAAGGCGCTTCAGATTGGAGGTTGGGAAGGTAAAGCGATGTAACGTTACAATTCTTGTAGTATCTGCTTTTTGATCATTAGTTGAAAAAATAATTCGCTTATTAATATTATAAAATAAAGTTTTGTTTTTCATATTTTTCATAAAAAAAATTTATAATTTTTAAGTCTTCAATAATTTCTACAAAAGTTTATATTTTTAATAAACTTATTTTTATTTAGAAATGTTATATGAATTATATTATAAATATTAATTTATATATTAAAATTGTTTTTGTTCTATATTATTTTTATTTTTTTTTATTAGAGAAACTTTTTATTTACTAGTATTTTCTAAAAAGTTTATATTCTTGTAAACTTTTATTTTTTTATTTTTTTAAGCTTTAGCTATAGTTTTTAATTTTAGAGTAAAATTCTTAAGTAAAGTCGTAATAAGTGCCATGAAAAAAGGAATAATTTAGGTGCTACTAAAAGTTCATACAAGCAGTGAATGTCTTTCGCTATTGCTTATAAATTTATCCTTTATTTTTAAATAAGGATGGCGATCTTTTATCGTTGCCAGGAAAGTCAAAGAGAGTTCAGTAATTACCTCCTTTTATCTAAAATCGAAGGTAAAAGGCATCTAAACACTTTTCTTCAATCTTTATAAAACCTAAACAGCGCCTCCTTTAAAGGATGGAAAGCCTGTACTTAACTATAAGCCAGGCCAATACACAGCGCTTAAATTGTGTACGGAAAAAGTTAAAGCTTGCAGAAATTATACTCTTTCTAAGGCGGCTGGTTATCTTTTTCAGTTAGATTTTATTATTTAATTTAAGGTTATATAATGTATAAGGCGACAATAAATATCGCATTAGTGTAAGACGTCAGGAGCCAGCCGAAAAAGGGGCCCCGCCTGGTCTTGTATTAAAGGCCATTCTAATTTATTTTTGTATCTTTACTAAATTTACTTTCGCTTTGTATATAATTTTAGGTGTCTAATTTTCTTCACGATCACATAAATGTCAATGACGAAGTACTCCTTGGAGTTCCCAGCGGAGTTTTTACTTTTAATCACAACCACGCCAAGTCAATTCACGTTTTATTAAATCATAGCAAATTTATAACTTTTTTCCCACGAGTTATTAAAATATTTATTACGTATTATAAAGCGATGAGAAGCCAATTGTACTAATGAGTGCTGGTGTTGGATTAACGCCTATAGTAGCAATGGTAGGAGCTACTTCATCTTGAAAGAAAATTTTAATGCTCAAGAATTTATCTTCGTCTTATTTATTTTTCTTAGTTATTAATGAAAAGTCATAGGAGTTTTACTCTTAATTTATATATAACTCTGATTTTAGAAATAAAGTTAGTTAATTTCAAACACGAGGCCTTTTTTAAATAGTTTATTTCAGTTGCATTCGTTTTTAAAAGTTTATTAATTCAAATTCTGGAGAGACTATTCGCTTAGTAAGTTTAAAGTTTTATACCAAACTATAATCTATGATATTGTTTTGTTCACACGAAACAGTAACAATGACTTTTGCCATACTTAACTTAGCCGTTTAAGAAGGGCACAAGATTTATTAATATTATCAGTCGCATTAAAATAAAGTAGTTTTCTGCTTATTTTATTTTTTAAGTGATATTTAAAAAAAGCTTTTAATAACACAAATTTAAAAAAATTTAAGAAATACAAAAAATTTATAAGTTATTATCATTTCTATCTTATTAATGTTTATTGAAATAAAATTTTACTGCCAATCTTTTTATTACAGCTTGATTTTATATTAAAAAATAACGTGAAAAAAAGCGTGACGGTGATTATTTCTAACCGAAATAAGGATGTAGAAGCGTTGCATGATTGGTTTGTAGCTTCAGAAGAAAAACATTCTAATCTTCAAGTCGTGTTTTTGTGTAAATCCTAATCAGATTTCTATTTATAATTTTTTTTATAAATTATAAATTTTTTTCATTGCTATCCATCTTTATTAATGTTATTTAACTTTTTATTATTTATATTATTATTTAATCTTTTTCAATGTTATTTAATTTTTTTTACAAAATAATTTTTAATAGTTATTCTTCATTTCAAAAATTAGTTTTTTTATAAATATAATATGAGAATAATGTTAACTAATAATTAATAATGAAAGTTTTTAGTGTTAAACTTGAAATATTTAAGAAAATATTTTATTTATTAATATAATTTTTTTATATAAAAACTTAAAATTTGTAATATATAATCATATAGTTAAAATACTAAAATTTAAAAAAATTCTTTCTGTTATTATTATTTTTATTTTTTGTATAATATTAATATTAAGAAATAACAAATAATAACATTTATTAATTATTACATAAAATATAAAATATTAAAAATATACAAAATCATATATCTAATTTTTATCATATACTCGTGTGAATTCAAAGATGACGATCCGCTTAGACTTTCCTCAAAAACTTTAAATGCCTCTAAACTAGATAAGCTTTTGCCTAATAAAGATTGCCACTACTTTTTTTGTGGACCACAAGGTTTTTTATTTTTTTTCATAAAAAGATTGTAAATTTATATTTGTATAGGATACATGAAAATGGTTTGTGAACAACTACTCAAATGGAAAATCCCTGAAGATCAAATTAATTACGAATACTTTGGGCCTACCAGGCCTTTATAGGACGAAAAAGCTTTTATTAATAAAAAAAAATTATTTTTATAAATCTTTATTCTTCACGACGATCAAGTTATTCTTTCCCGGTTCTGTATTGCTCATTTTAAAATTCTTGAAATTCAAAATAATTAATCTTTGGAGTCTACTAGGCCTTTAGAGGGCGAAATGCCTTTAAAAATTAATGAAAAAAAACTTTTATGTTATCACCTCCGATTTACGTAATACTTATTCTAAGCTTGATACCACTTTTGTACGTTCCACTGAGTTTAGTTATTGATTTTCACACATTGCCTAGTTCCGAGGCGCCGTGGGACCCGCGGATAAGACACAAATAGTTCAAGGCGCAAGCAATAATTTTACTACATCAACGACATATCTTCAGATACGCTTAAAGAAAAGCAGTACTGATGCAGACCAGCAAGAATACGATAACTTTTCATAACCCGAAGGGATAGAACCTTCCAAACATCTTGGGTTACAACCCTGTTCTCTCTATTTTCAGAGTTTTTGCAGCATGCTGACTTTCGTCTATTTAAAAAGGCGGTTCATTATCAGCTAGTCCTCGCTTCTTAGGTGACTCTATCTTATAAGAACTAAATTTATAGTTAAGCCAAGAGGAAGATACTTTCCTTATCAGGTTATCACTCTTAGACCTAGGTAACGGCTCAAGATTACTAGATCTTATATGACTTGAATACGTTGCTTTATGCCTTTATCCAAAGAATAACCTAACCAAGTAGAGTCAGTTAGAAAAATCCCTACTTATATAAAAAGGTTATTTTCTATAGCTTTTACTTATTGCTTAAACCAGAAAGTAATCTAATACATAATTAATAATACATAATTAATCTTAAGGTTATACCATCTAATAGTATACTCTTATTTGAATGTAAGCCCTATCTCACCTCCAAAAGAATGATCAAACACAAAAACAAACACAGTACGTTATGAATATGATTAACTCGCTTGAAACACTAGGGATCAGGGGGGGAAGTTGACCGAGGAGAGTCGTAGTGATAATGGACTGCTTTGATCAACGTAAGTCCGCACGGTTCCAGATAAAAGCGGGTGGCCAGTACCCTGCGAAGGATGAAAGAGATTGGATTCTCCCATATGTAGAAAATAAGCCTGGTCTCTACTTGTTTAAGGGCGTTTGTTTGTCTTTCAACAAAAGAAATTATTTATTTTTTTCAATTGAATTTATTAAAATAATTGTTATAACCTTGCAAATTTTTTTAAAGCCACCTAAATAATTTAACTTTTATTTTTTACGCTCAAATAGAACTCGAACTTTATAGAGCTAACAGGAAGCCATCCTTTGCAACTGGTTTAAGACATTTCAAAACACATGATTTTAAATTGTTATAAAGTTTATATAAAGTTATTAGAAAATGAGGTCTCCTCTTTGTTATTAGTTTGTCTTATAGCGAACACCATCTTAGTTATCTCTTTTCAAGGATGACAATGTTGCTGGAAAGCTCTATAAGAATAAAAAGCTAACTCGTTACTTTATCCATTTATGATGTTATTGCCTTTCAAGGTGAGAAATTTTTGGGTTTACAACTGAATTCAAAATAGAATCACCATCTAGTTTGTGGGTTTATGCTGTTGCATGAAAATATCAAATAGATATAAACGGTATTACATTGCTTGAAATTTAAATAATAAAATAATAATTTGAGGAGGAAGAAAAATTAAACCGTTTTTTATATACTGCAGCTTATAAAGAACCTTTGCCAAGTTTTTTAAAGTCGACGTCCATTATAGTAACGAATTAAAAATATATAGGACAATAAAACGCAATTAATGTCATAAACTAACAATGTCGCTAGACTATCTTTTTTCTACTTTAAAACGCCTAACGAAGCCGTACTAATACTAAAATTTTTGACCACAATTATTGGAATTTTACTAATTTGTAATATTTTTTTTAAACATTTAAAGCATTCTATTTAACACCAAGAGTCTAAGTAAGCTGAGAAAAGTAAATTTAAAATTGTTACTGTAAGTATCTCTAAATAACTACAGCAGTTATGTATGTAGTTATAAAGACTTCTAGAAGGAACAAAATTAAAGATTTACTATGTGAATTTGTGATGGCTTATTTGTGTGATAGGTAAATACCCCAACAAAACTGGCAGCAGACAACTTTTTATTATATAAAATTCCTTTTAAATTATCTGTAAACTTGGTGCCTTATTTTTGAGGGATGTACTTTGTAGTATAAAGGGAAGATCAACTTTTAAAATGATTTCCTTATAACTAAAAATTAATATTTTTTTTTATTAGAGAATCAAATTCTTAAAAGGGTTTTACAGGTGTAATGTTCCCTTTTTTATAACGGTAGTACTACGATAGTCGTATATGCAAGTATTAATGTTAAATGAGTTAAAGAAAATTGTTGCTAAGTATAAAATCGTAGCCAATTTTTGTACGAATTTTATAACTACATAATTGTTTAGGGATGAGCATCTATCGATTTCTGAAATGCGCGAACGAGGGCTATTGAGAACCGAATTTTAAAGACATGCGTGATATTATTTAAGTATAAAACTACTAAAGGAGGCGTACCTACAGACGGAGGGTAAGGCAAAGTCGATGTGAGAAATATGAGTTTAGGTTTTGTACTGGAATAAAGATCTAGTGTTTTACCTTCTTCCACGCGCAAAAGTAAACAGTTACCAAAATAATTAAAGACGATAAAAAGTACGTTGAAGCAAGAACATTAGTTTTCTCGTTTATTTTAAAAATTACAGGCGAAAGCCAGTCACAAAATTTTGTAATTTTGTCATATCTAAGCTAATAGTCTATGTTTATTTAAATTGATTCTAAGCTAAATACAGTTAAAGTCAGTACAAATTGAAAAGTTTATGTAGGGTCACGCAAGTAGCTAAAATAATAAATTTTAAAAAGTTTATAATTGTCTTGAGTTTACTCTTAGAAGCTTTAAAGTGAGAAGGCTTTTTTAACAAAGAGGAAGTGAAGGAGCAAATAAATGAAAGTCGAGACGGTAAATTTTTTTTTGTGGAGGGGGAAGGGAGGTAGTGATTGCCTTGAAGAGTAGTCGAAGAGCTTACAATATCACACTAAACCATAATGAACGCTCAATATGGGCGCAATAGTATTACCCTTAAATTTATATAGAAATACAGCACTAGCAAAATGTGAGGGTATAAAGTTTATAAAGCGGAGAGGATATAATAATTAATTTTTTAATTTATCTAAAAACTTTTGTTTCTTCTAATTCTGTTGGGTTACTTTACTTTTGCAGTATTTTTATATATAAATAAGGTATAAAGAATTAATAATATTAATAATATAAGTTTTATTTAATATCAATATTTGCGTTTGTATATGCACTACTCTTATCTCATATTTCTAGACTATAACGTATAAAAAAAAAAAGAACTAAAATAGCTGGTTTACTTCTCTGGGAGGGGGCACGTCCCCTTCATTTCCATCACAACTAATTCACGTGCTTCTTTTAACTTTGAGTGAACTTTTTAAATTTAAGAAAGAATTTATTTCTTTATTAAAAAAAATACAATTTTTTACTACTATACGAAGTTTATGGAAATAATAATGCTACTATGAAAATTTTTACATTTTCTGAAGTAGGGGTTACCCCTTGTTCTGAACGTCTTGTTCTTAAACATTTAATTAAGGTGGATTAAAAGTGTATTATTGAGGACTTTGATTCCTCAAGTTTTCTTTAGTTTGTTATGTTTCTTAATATATAAAGTTTTTTTATTTATAAGGCTGGAGGATACGGCAGGCTTAACGCTTCTGAGCTTCGGAACATAGAAAATATGTTTAAAAAGGGTTCTATACAATTCTCTCTCAATAGAGTTAATTATTTTTAACGCAGTCTTCCAATTTTTCTCATTTTTCCTTTATCTTTTTTTATAGGCCTTGTCTATACGTAAAACATTTCTGCTTAATAAAAATATAACTCAGTACGGTAAGTTAATGTCTTTGCGTACTTCCTTAGTAGAGCTCTACTCGCAAAGGTTTACTTTATTTTAGTTCAAAGAGAGAAGTAATTTTTAAACAATTTTTTATATATATAGAAAAGACATAATATTTTTAAGTAAAAAGTTTGACGCTCCTCCTTTAACTTGTTTAAGATTAATTTTATTACAAAAAGGTTTTTCGAAAGGGGACGTTAAAAAAGTATTTTTTTATATTTCTTTTTAAGAGTAAACGTTATTATAGTTTTCTATATTTGTTAGTATTAATTTTTGTTAGCTTTTTAGTTTGAGGAATTTTACTGATGATTGGGATAAAAAACAATTTCTTTTGGCTGCCGAGAACGATATAGTAAATTTTAATACTTGATATCTTTTGATTTTTTTTAGAAGGCTTGTCTTTTAGGTCAATTCTTTAGATTCTTCTTTACTGGAAGCATCAATACATTTTGAAAAAGCCATTCAGTCTATTTTTTTATCTTTAGGTTTTTTCTAGGAATTTAAGTTTTTTAATTTCTATTTATTTTTAATTATACGAATACCTATTTAATTTTTTAAGTTTACTTAATTTTTGTACTTTTATACAATTTATATTAATTGTGACTTTTTTTTTTACTGATTTCTTTGTAAATTTAAAATTACTATTTTTTTATAGTTTCAAATAAACTAGGTAATTTAAATTTATTTCGTTTCTAGATTTTTTATAATAGCTTTTTTTATTATGAACTGTTATGTTGATTGAGTTGCTTTTTTTTAAGAATTTTTTTTGTTGGTTCCGTAAGGAATATTTATACGTAAACTTATTATAAGTTTATTTTATTTTTTGCGCTTATGTTTAATATTTTTGTGCTAATTGCAATTAAATTTTGCTAAATTTTAATTATTCTTAAATTTTCAAGTAAGTTATTCAAATTTTTTTTATTGAATTAAAGTTTATCTTTTGAATTTTGACTTTCCTTTGAACTTCTATATAAATATAATTCCAGAAATATATGTTTTATTTTAATTTATGTTTAGTGAAGCCAGAATAAATGAGAAATCTATTAGTTACACTATTTACGACTTATATATTTTATTCCAAATTTACGAATTATTACTTATTAATAAACTTTCCATTAAAAATTTGTAAAATTTTAAATTTTATATACTAAATTTGAGGCTAATTTTTTTTAAATTATAATGAAATAAAAATTTAAAACTGTTAATTGTTTATCAGTATTATTTTTTATTTATATATATTTTAATTTTTTTTAAGTTTGTTAATTAATTTTAATGCCGTATAATAAAATTTTTTAATTTAATTTATTGTTTATATAATTTATGGTCTTTATAGTTTCTTATACTAATTTGTTGTTTCTGTTTTTTATAATAAAGAAATTCCTTTTTATTCTGAAGATCAAATTCGAAGTTATAAAATGGATTTGAGTTCTCCTGATCTTCTATTTGAGCAGCCGATTTGTATTAATAATAAGAAAGTTAGATGGTCTAATTATTATAATAAATTTTTATAATTTTAAAATTCATTAGTTATAAATTGAATATTATTATAATTAGAACTATTATAGTTATCATTCAACTATTTTTCTTTGCAGGCTGGAATTAAAAGATTCTTATGGTAGGGCTGAAGGTCTCATCTTCAAAAATATAAAAATGCAAGTTAAAAAGTAACGAAAGTTAAAAGCAATAAACTTAAATATATATATATATGTTTTTCGCAAATAATAATGGTGATATAAAGTTAAACAGTTGAGGAGTATAAAAAGTAATGAATAAATTGAATTTTATTAAAGATTATTGAGAAATTAATAAAATCTTTAAATGAAAATTTTATTTCATAAATTAATAAATTTTAAAGCATATTTTTGAAATCTTTTATTAATTTTATGCTTTTATGGAACTTCGAATTATTTTTAAATTCCAATTTTTTTATTTATATAAAAGTTAAACTTTTATACAAAATTATTAACTTAACAATTTATGAATTTTAAAGTATTTTTAAATTAAAATTTTTTTTTATTATATTAAAGTTTGAACTCCTCAACTTTTATAAAAAGTAATAAATCATTAATAGGAAACTTTGAATACTTTAAGTTATTATTTATTTATTAGCATATTTTTAAATAACTCAGACTTTCATATTAAATAAATAAAAATATAATATAGTGAAATTCTGAATTTTTTTAATTAAAATATTTTCTTCATAAAAAAGATTAACATTACACATTCGTTGTATTTCTGATAAAGAATATTTATAAATAACTTAAATTTTTTATATATATAAAATCTTATAATTTTATGAAACTTCCATTTTTTTAAATTCATATTTTTAATAATGAAAAAGTTTTTAAATAATATTAGTTTTAATAAAAAGTAATTTATTTAACTTTATGAAACTTTAAAGTTATTTTCAAATTATAATTTTTTTTATAACAAAAAAAGATTAACATCACAATTTTTTTTATTTTTATAATGGTTATATATAAATAACTCGAACTTTTACATATAATATTTAATTTTATAATTTGATGGAACTTCGAATTATCTTTAAGTTGAAATATATTAAATAAAAAAGGTTTTTTTATAATAATCATAAAAACTTTAATGCTAGAACTTTTATAAATTATGCTACACCCTGACAATATATTTTTTTTAAATAGAGATTATGGATATATAATGTACTTTTTAATTTCTTGCTATAATTTTTTTTAACTTTTAATATTTCTTATAAGAAGAAAGTTTTTAAAAATAAATTTTTAGATTTATTATCTCTTAAATTATTTATTATTATATAATATTTTTTATTATAAAACAATTTTATATTTTCTTCATCTAAAAAAAGTTGGCGAAGTTAAAAGTTTTATTTTTATGTAGATTCAAGTTTTTAGCAATTAAAATTTTAAATTTTTATTGTTAACTTCTTTTTTTACATATTAGAATTTTTTATAAATTAATATTAATAAAGTTTTTATTATATTTAAAAAAAATTTGTATTTTTTATTTTTTCAGGGAACCTTTTTTTAATTATAATTACTTAATGCTGCAAAAAGTTATTTATAAATTAAAAATTTATGTAAAAGAGATTTGTTTATTAACAATTTTTTTAAAATTAAAACAGATATTTGTGAGTTTATCTTATATGTAAATGAGTTGAATGTTATAAATAAATTGAAGTCCTATTTATTAGTAGATTTAAATTTTTGGTATTAAAATTTTTATTGGTTCTCAATAAACTTTTATATAGTTGGAAACGTTTTCAGATATATAATAAAGTTTGATCTATTTTTTTTAAATGCTCGTTTTACATTTTTCTACTTGATGTGAAACTGCTTTCTATGTATTATATTTTTTAATCATAGTATAGACACTAGCTGTCGGTACTCGGTTCGGGTACTTGTGGCTTTTGCTACTTAGGCTCGAATCGGTTCGGGTTCTATTGGCTTTGCTACTTGGACTCGCTCTGTTGTGTCGGCGGTGCTATCGTCTCTATAGTACTAGTACTTGTTTCTAGTATCTCCCTGGAGGCTTTAGTGTGGTCTATGGAACTAGCACTTTTATTCGGTGTTGGCTTCTAGATACTAGTGTATTTACTATACTATGGTAGATACTAGGTACTAGTACTATATATATAAGCGGCACCGCACAATATTATAAATGTGTATTTACGAAATTAATCTTTTAATTATAAAATTTATTTAAAGTTTTATTACTTTGCAGATTCATAGTTTTTTATGGCACCGAATTTTTTTAAAAAGTTTTATTAATTTCAAAATATTTTTATAATATTTAAGAAGGGTTTTGGGGGACTAATATATTTTATAAGTAATAAAAAGTTTTTTACATCACGAATTAAAATTTTGTTTTAAAGTTCATTTGGTAATATTAAAGGTTTTAGAAGTATTTTTACTGTTTTTTATAAAAAATTCTTTTATATGTTTTATAGTTTTTTTAATTTTTTATTTTCATTATGTATTATTTTATAATTTTTATATTATTAGTAGAAATTTTATTATATTATCAAATTTATTGTATATTTTTCATTACAATTTTTTAATTCTCAGATTATAGTTTTTCTTTTTTCTATTAAATTACTTTTTAAATTTTTATTGAAGTTTTTTTAATTCTTCTGGTTATAATTTTTAACTTAAAATAGTATATCTTTTCTATTTTATATATTTTCTTTATTTCTTTAAATTTAACTATTATATAATTTTGTAAATACTTAGTCATAAAATTTATACTATTGTTTTATGTTTATATATTTTATTAATTTCATTATTTAATTTTTTAATATTAAATAATAAAAGATAATTTTTAATTTCATTATTTATTTTTTTAATATTAAATAATAAAAGATAATCCATATTTTATGTTTTTATAAATTTTCAATTTTTTTAAGGTACACTTCTTTGTATGGGCCAGGCGCTCTCATGTTTAAGTACGGATTCTCAGAACTCCTTAAAGAAAAGGTTTATTTTTGTTCAACTTAAAAATTATTTATAAAAAAATAAAATCATTATTTTTATTTTTATTTATGAATTTTAAAGTTAATTATTATGAAATTTAAGAGTAATTATAAAGAAAATAATTTTATTATTATCTAAATAAATTTAACAGTTAATTATTCTGAAATTATAAATTGATTAAAAAATAAATATAAAATTCCTGTTTTATTTAAAGTAAATATTAAAATGAGACTAATTTTTTTTTTATATTATAAATTATTATTATTATTCATAATAAATTATAAATGTTATTTTTAAAAATTATTTTAAAAATCTAAAAAAAAGTTTATTATCATTAAAGTAAATTATAAAATTTATTATTCTATAATTATTTATAAAAACTGAACGAACTATTTATTATTTTTATCACTTTCCTAATTTATAATAAATATTAAAATTATTTTTCTGAAATGTAAAATTTATTTATAAAGAAGTAAATTAAAAAAATTATTTTATTATTTTTAAGTAAATTTCTAAATGAACTTTACTTATTATTGTTACTATATGAAATAATTTTTAAAGTACTATAAAAAATCTTTTATCATTCATTATAATTTTTATAATTATCCTTTTTAATTATTATTTATAATAATCTCTAAATAATATTTATAAAAAAATTATTATCTAAAATAATTTTTTGAAATCAATTATTTTGCAATAATAAATTATTTATTAAAAGTTAAATTATTTTAAATTTAAAATTTATTATAAAAAAATGTGTTTATTGTTAAAATTTCAAAACTGATTTCTCTAAACTAATGAATAAACCATAAAGTAATAAACAACTATTATTTAAAATTTTTTATTCTGACATTTAAATAAAAAAATAAATTTATTATTACTATTAATAATTATAAAATTAATCATTTGAAATATAAAAATAAATTTTAAAATATTAAATTTAATATTATCATCGTTATTTATAATATATATTAATAATTCATTATGGCAAAATAAATTTATTATATTATAATCTAATAAATTATAATAGTTTATTGTGAATTTAGAAATTTATTATTATTTTAATTTATCATAAATTTTTAAATATGATTGTTTGTTATATATTTTATATAAACTTTTTGAATTCTAAAAATTATATATAAAAAATAATAATTATTATTATTGCTAATAAATTTTTTAGAATAATTATTCTGAACCTAAAAATTTTTCTACAATTAATTAAATTTATTATTATTATTAATATATTATATTTTAAATTTGTTTTTTAATCTAAAAATTATTGTTTAGAAAAGAATTTTATTGTGCATAATAAATTCAGAAAAAAAACATTTTGTTAAACTATAAAACTAATGCAGTAAAAGTTAGCCCCCCCCCCCATGCGACGCACCGTTAAACACTCGCTATAAATTTTTAACGGAAAAAAAAGTTTTTTGTAATTTTTTATTTTTGTTATTTAAGATTTATCATTTCCATTTTTATAATTAACAAAATAATTATCTAAATTGTAAAAGCATAGCATAACTTTTATTTACTGTTTTTATCATTATATCTAAAAGTAACCAGTATATAATTTTTTATTATTAATAGTTATTAATATATAAATTTTTTAACAATTTTTATTTATCATCATTTTTATTTCACGAGTAGAAAACATGTAAATTATAATGTTTATTCTATTTACTATTTTTTATTTAAAGTAAAGAATATAAATTAGGATTATCATTATCGTTCAAAAAATTATATATAAAATCTAATAAAATTATGACTTAAAATGAGTTATTAATATTGAATATTATTATGGATAATTGAAGAAAAGAAATACTATTTATTTTTTATTTTTTATTTTTTTGTAAAAATAATAAAATTTTTAATTATTATTGTTATTATATATACATGAAAAGAATAAAGAAATTGTATATTTATTATTTTTTTAAATTAGTAAAGAGTTTTATATATAAAATTATTTGTTGTATAAATAATATATACTTTATTATTTAATACTATTTTATTTATTATATTTTTATATGTAAAAGTAATGAATGTGTAAATTATCATACTACTATTACTTTTTTATTCTAATTATAATAATTTTAAGTAAATGGATATAATGAATACAAACCATTATAATATTATTATTTTTTAAATACAATCATCATAATTGATTACAATCATTCTACTTTTTAATTATTATTATATATGAAAGTAAAGAAAGATATTAATTATTATAATATTCATTACCTGTATTATTGATAAATGTTAGGGATATATTATTTATTATTATATTTATTATAACTTTTATATGGGAAAATAATGAATATAAAATTTTTTTATTAATGCATTAATGATTTAAATTTCATAATATTTAAATAAAATTATAATATTTTTTAAAAATATTTATAATTATTTTTTTATGAAAGTAATGAATTTAATTTATATAAGAGTAAAGATTATTTAAATTTATATCTCAATTCTTATTTTTTATAATAATAAATATATGAAAATGAAAATTTTATTTTATTGATTATAAATAATTAAATAAAGAATTTTAATTTTAAATTTTTTTTCCAGTTCTTAAATTTATAAAATTATGGCTTCTATAATAACACTTTTATTAACAATAATCTCTTATATTTATACTTTTACAAATAATCTTTTATAATTTTTTTTATAAGAAATTTCTAAATTTTTTAGTTGAAGGCAACATTAGTTTTGGATGCGGAGCATTTGTTTTACGATACTTCCTTGCAGGTTTTTATATTTATATGCAGAATAAAATTGTAAAAAAACTTTTTTTAGTATTAAATTAAAATAAAAATTAGTTTTAAAAATTTGAAATTAAATTTTATTATAAAATTTATTCAGTTTAGAAGAAAAATTGTTTAGTTTTTAGCTGTTTAATTTTGTTTTAATAAAAGTAATATTAAAAATATCTTTAGTGATTGCCATTTTTTATTATAAATTTAATTTTTTATAAACAAAATTATAAAAAATTATTTTATCATTTATTATTTTATAGTTTATTTTTTAATTTGTAAATTGATTTTTACTAAAAGGAGAATTTTTTTTAAGGAATTCATATATTATTAATAAAATTACTTTATTAATTAATAATTTTTTTAAAAATATTATTAATAACTTCTATTGTTTTTAGGTCATGTTTAACTAATAAATAGTTTTTTTTTAGTTTTAATTAAGAAATTGAGTATTTTTCGTTCTAATTTAGAGTGAAATGCATATACTTTTATATGCTTTCTTTTCACTTTGATTTTTTTTTTAATTATAATTTTATTATAAAATGTATAAATAGTAAAATTTACAATATTTTTAATGGTAGATCAATTTTTTACTTAATAAGTTCCTTTTTAAAATTTTCTATAATGAATAATTTTTTATATATAATGAAATACTTTAATTTTTATTTTTATGAATATTTATTGCAGATCTGAAGTCCTTTTTTAAAAATTTGTTAATTTTTTTAGTACGATCCGTCGCTTCCGAATAATCTAAATTCAAGTCAAGTTGCACCAGTTTTGCTGCCCTCCGCCTTGCGTTCATCTCATCGGATCGTACGTTGCTCGCTTTGTCGGTTAACCACGTGTCCTTCCTGCACGTGTTTTACGACGGATCATCTTTATGTTTGCACCGCTTGCTGCACACGTGTTTTATTTTTTTGCTTTAAAATTTTATTTTTGGTTTCATTATTTTTTTTAGGGAAAAGTAAAAAAGAGCTGTTTCCATTTTTAATCCAATCGAAGCAGGAACCTTTGAAAGCAAGTAAAGTTGTAAACGATTCTCCGCCCTCGCAAGTTAATAATAAACGAAAGAAAAAAACTACCAAACCATTGAAGAAAGCAAAAATTCACGAATCTCATAAATTTTCTGTTTAAAGTGTTCATCTTTTTGGGCCCTTAAATTTTTTATATAATTTATAAATTTCTTAATTTTCTAAATTTTTTTAAGTTTTTTGTTTAAAACTTCATATTCTCCTTAAATTTGCAGAATAAAAATTTTATAAATTATAATATTTGAAAAATTAATTTTTTTGTTTATATAAAAATATTATAATATTTCAGCAGAATTTATATAAGAAAAGTTATATTTTATAAATATAATATTTTTTTAATTCGGTAAAATAAATATTTAATAAAATTTTTATATTTTTTCTTAGTTAATTTTTTACGTTATATTAAACTTCAAGAGAGTAAATATTATCTATTCCTTTTAAGGTTAAAATTTATTTTAATATGAAATTCTGGAGAATAAATAAAATATTATAGTCTTGCAAAGTTAATATATATATATGAATTCATTCACTTCGGCAAACATAATGAACATTGTAGAAAAATAATTTTTTAATTTTTTTTTCTCTTTATATACAATCTTTTTAATTTAGCCAAAATGCGCGAGAAGTTTACTCTTTTTAGATCCTTACTTTTACTTTTGTCAAAAAAAAATTACATTGAAAATCTGTAGGAAAAGTGCGAATATTTTATTGTAATATATTTATTATTAGTTTTTATAGTGCATCTCTATAATAAAAAATTTAACTTAATTTCTTTTTGCTTTTTTTTCTTCTAATATTCCTAATTTAATATATTTATGAAATAAATTTTTTATTTTAAAATAATTATATTTCCTTTTTTATTAAACATAATATCTTTTGTTTATTATAATAAAACTTCTGCGTGACAAACAACAAAAATATTAAAATAATTTTTACTATAAAGAACTACAAAAATTACTAAATTATAAATTCCAAGAAAATTAATAATTTTTAAAGTAATATAAATTTTTAGACTTAAAATAAGAAATAATAAAAAACTTGTTTATAATATTTATACATTTTACTATCAAAAAAAAAAATTAAAGGAAGTTTTTAATTTATTGATTTATATTTTAAATTTTTTAATTTAGGAATTTTTTTTTTTTAAAAAAACTTTTTTAGCTTTTTTGATTATTTTAAAAAGATTTTATACGAATTTTCATTACGTTGAAGATTTCTTATACTATAAAATTTCTTTACTGGGCTTTTGTGTTTCTTTATAATGCGAGAAAGCTCTATATATAAGAAAAAACATAATAAACTTAATAAAATTGCCAAATAATAGATTAAATGTAGAAGGTATGAATATTTTTTTTAATATATAATAATAAATTAATATATTTAGACTTCTATGAAATTATATAAATTAAATAATAATAATAATAAAGTAGAAATTACAAATATTTATTTAACTTATAATAATAAATAATCATTAAATAAAATTTAAAATAAAATTTAATAATAAAAGTAAAAATTTTTGATACTTATTTACTTTATAATAATAAATAATATAAAATTAAAAAATTAAAACTTTTCTAAAATAATAATAGATATATTAAAATTTTAAAAAAAGTAGAATATATTATTTATGTACTTTATAATAATATAATAAAAAATTTAATAATTTCTATAATACAGTAATAATATAACTAAAATTCTAATAATTAAAGTAGAAATTATAAACATTTAATTTTTTTTATAATGGAAAAAATTAAAATTTCTTAAAAATAATTAAAAAAATAAAATTTTAATAATATAAGTTATATTTATATATTAATTCATATGAAATATTAATGCAATAAAATATCTTAAAACTTTTTCATATCATTTATAAGAAAATAAATAATAAATATATATATAATTTTTACTTTTTTAATTAATTATAACTAATACCGGTACAGTTCTATTCCTCTGCATAAAGGCAAAACGATTTTAACTCCAAAAAAAATAATTATATTAATAGTTATCGTAATAAAAGTAAAGAATTAATAATAATATAATTATTAAAAATCATAATAAGCGCTAGGAAATCAGTAATAGTTTTACTAATAATTAATGCTGGGGCGTGGATTATAATTGGCTTAACTTAGTTTAAAACCATAACAATCCTGTAGTGCTCAACTGGCAGCACCGAGAAGGCCCTCACGCCTTGTACTTCGTATAAAATTATAACCTTAAGAGTTAAAAACTATATGAAGTGATTATAAATACTTGAATCCAGCATTTTATTATGATACTTTTATTTATCCTCGTTGCGAGCCTGCAAAAGTTATACTAATATTCTATTATTAACTATTTCTGTCTTCTTTGCAAAAAGAGGAGCGTTAACTAGATTAATTAAGTACTGATGAAATTAACTAAATACAGAAACGGGATATAGAAAAAGCAGACTTCACACTAAAGTAAAAAAGGAAAGAATTAGAAAGTTGCAATTTAATGAAGAGATAAGAATATAACTTATTAATAGAAAGCTAAAGTCATGGGCAAGTTCTAGAATAGACGGCCATAATGCTATATTTTTAAGAAAACAAAGCAAAAAAAAACCTTTTTATAATATAACAGGTTCAATTTAAATTTATAAACCAAATAAGGAATGAACTACATATATGTACGATGGCGAAGTGCAATAAATAATATTTGGGTTATGCGGTTTATAAGAGTTGTGTGTATAATCTAAAGTACAAGTAATTTTTTTAAGCTTATATTTTAAAGCGAAAGAATAAAAAGCTTTTCTTAACAGAACTGAAATTCTTTAATTAGCAGATATTTAATAAAAATCATTAGCCGCATAAAAATCATAACTTGGAAAAATTTTAAGTTTTCATGATATCGAAGTAAAAAATAAAATAATTGTGAAGTTAGTTTTTTAAATAATTCTAAATTAACCTCTGATCCTGAAGATACATATATAGTATGTTAAGAATAGTTTTTGTTTAGTATTTTTCCAATTAAGTTCTTTTTTGTAAGCATAAAATTTTTTTATCATGGTTTATATATTGGTTCTTTATTTAACTGTTTAAAAAAAGAATTAATCCGTAGGGTGATACCCTGCAGTAAAACAAGTATCTCAAGGTAATAATTTTATAATGTTACTGAAGTTTACAGTCAGATACTGAGCAAAGTCACGGAAGTACAATCATTTCTGAACAACCAAGCGCTCTTTTCGAAAGTAATGAGGAGAGCGGTAAGCATAAATAATACTTAAAACAAAAAGAAGTATACTTGGCATTACATGCTCTTCCTTTGTATGCATATTTTACTGTATATCCTTGCTTTCTGTATTATATCCGGTGAGTATTTAAAGTAACCGTTTCCCCATAACAATTTTATATTTCTTAATTTTAGTATTCTTTATTTTTTCATTTATAATTTGTTTAGAAGTACCTTTAATGCTTTAAAAATAATTTCTCATCTAGTGGTTTAACAACCCTATAGATTTAAACTTAGTAAGATACAAAAAATTGCAGCTAGACATAAAGCAGGCAGTTTTTAATGTTAAGATCTGTGCAAATGCAAGGTAAAATTAAGCGCAGTATGCTTAGTTTCCTTAATAACCAATACTATTTGGCGTAGTTCATATAATTTCCAAAATTGACGTATATACGGCAAAACTATAAATTTTCCATATAAGCTAAAGTATACAATCCGTACCAAAAAAAATTATTCCTACTTTTGTCAGAAATGGCGCTAGTTTTTAATGGTTCCATTGTATTGTAAATTTTCTCCTTTAGTGATTATTTCACGCCCACAATGCGTGCAGTGGGTCAATGATTACACTAAAGCATAAAACGCCCCTTTTAAAAATTGTGGTTAACCTTGGATAATAAAAATCAGGAAAGAGTAAAGTATTATATTAACTTATTAGCAAAGAGTCAGTGGTGTTAAATTACATTTGGTGTCTTTAATTCAAATTAAAAAAAATAAAATAAAATGACAGCTCAGTATTTAATAAATAGAGAAGAATATATACAAACTACTCAAAAATCCTTTAAAACCACAGCAAGATTATAATTATAGATGTCACAAACATGAAAAATTAAAGTCCAGCACCATATTACGTTGCTCATATACTGCTTCTCTCAAAAAGTCGAAAGTAGTTTATTAAAATTAAGGCCAATATATGATAAAGTCTATAAGTAGAATATTTTTATTTAAAACCTTCCTTTTGTATCACTTTTCCACGTGTAATAATCTTATAAGCTTTTTGAACACCAATTAAAGAATCTAAAGTTTTCTTAAGCCAAAAGCGGAATATGCTTAACTTTAACTGGGCAAAAAATTATTTCTTTAAAAAAGACAAATTTGATAATAAACGTCGCAAATTTCTAGGCATAAGTAAAAATATCCTGTTTTAACCATGTAAAATGAGTTCTTTAGGTTTTATATGATTTTTAAATAAATATTTTTTACCTATAAGCCTTTTTATATATCTTTTTTGGCCTTAAAAGTAAAAAGACAACAGTGCCCGAGCGCCTAAGTGGGATTGGCTGAGGAAATATGAGACTGAGGGGTTGACTATGGAAACTCTCGGTCTCCCTTTGATGCATCATCAGTGTGGCTGCATTTTATATATAGTCAGCCACTTTCGTTTCAAAGTTGGGTCACGCCTGTAGTTTTCAGCGGCGCCTTTTTGGCTTTTTCAGAGCAGGCCGAGCTATTTTGCATTATTGGCTATGCTTTTTAACGATGAGGACAAGGTTACTTTTCGAGATGTGAAGCTTCTTTTTGTAGCTGGTTTATACACCCTTTTATGTTGTTACATAGTATGTATAAGTAATGTACTGGCCGACCGTTATAATAAAAATATCATAACCTTTTACCTTATGGAAAATGGTTTGATGAATAACTCCGTAGAGTCAGTGGTTAATGCTGAGCATGAAATTTATAAACCTTTGCTTTTTACAGATTTACCTCTCAGCGATCCTATACACAGAGACCTTTACCCTATAGATCTTTCTTCGGCTGCTAGCTTTAACTCCGATTCTTCTCAAAAATTCTTTGGAAGCGTAAAACTTTTTTTGACTTTGAGGGATCCCGTGTTGAAATTCTTTCGTGAAAACACAAAGTTTTTTAGATTTCGTCCTTATTTTGCGGATTTATGCGTGTTGATGAATTTCTTGCTGATTGCGTTTCGTTTTTTCTTGTTTAAACAACTCAAGGAGAAAATTGTTGTTTTGCGTAGAGTACTCCTGATTATTGGAACACTTTATATATTACGCTCTATTACTATATTATTAACGTTTCTCCCGAATCCACAACCTTTTTGCTCCCGGCGGGAAAAGGAAAGTAACATATTTTATGAAGCTTTACTAGCTTTGTTAGGATTTAGAACTACTTGTGGGGATACCTTCTTTAGCGGACATACTATTATTTTTACTGTTTGTTTTTGGTTATGGACTACCTACCGTTATAATATCTCAACTCAACTCTGCACAACGTTTTTAAGCTTTTTTTCGATGATTCTTTTGTTGATTGTACAATTTCATTACACCATTGATGTTTTTATGGGTTTTCTGTTAACTTCCTGGGTTTGGGTAAGTTACCACATGTTTGTAACAGTCGATGGTTTCAGGGAAACTCCTTTGGCTAAAGTTATTATGTTTATGGAAGGCTCTAATTTCAATTATACACCCGACAATTATCAACAAGTAAACTTGGAAAGTTTATTAAAGATCTGAAAGTTTTGTCCTTTATATACGCTGTTATTTGTTTAATCTACTAAGCAATAAATTTTTTCTGGCTTTTAAACTTTTAATTTTACCTTGAATTATTCACTTGTATTTTTTAAATTAGTTTAAAGCCCTTTGAAGTAGCAAGAGATTTACTATAGTGTAACACCAACTTATTATTAACTTTGAATATATTTATTAAACTTTTAATTAGAGTAAGATTTTATACTAACTGTTATTATAAGATAGCCACTAGTGCTTAACTGTCTTGTTTGCTTACTTACAAACAACTTAAAACAGTAACTATTACTTATGTTTGTTTTTTATTTGAAGGTATTAAACGGCTGTTTTTAGAAAAAAAGTTATTATTATAAGGTTTTTTCTATGGTAACAACTAATAACAGCTTAAAAAAGAGTAGTGAAAGTGGTGAAATCTACGGAGACTTGGAAAAGCCCGTAAAAGCTTTACAGCACAGCGTAGACATTGAGATGGGTAGCGCTTCTGGCACTGCTCCTAAGAAAATAAATATTTGAAAGAAACGGGATCTTGTAAAAGCAATATTCCTCCCGTTAATCTATTCGAAAAACAAAAGAGGCCCTAACTAAATCAACTTTTGGAAACCAACGGCGTGAATATCCCACAATCTAGAGATACCCGACTTAGAATCAAGATTTTTCCTATGAGAGCTAACGACTGCCGCCCCATAACAGCGATCACGCATGCGAGATCAGGAATTTCAATTCTTTACATATCAACTACCTGAAGAAAAAACTTTGAGATTTGTTATCCGCGAGTTACTGTGAACTCGATCTTTCAACTGTGGAGGGGGATTTGCGCACTCAGGTCGTCGCACCCCTTCGAGTTGAGCGAAGGCGCACGAAAGACGCCGTCAATGGCGATCGTAGGAAGCGTTATTGACCACCAGTTTTAGTACATACACACAGAACTGAGAGACAAAAGGTGTTAGAACTAAAGACTATCTCTCATCTTCAAATTTGAGTGGAGGAACTTCGGAAGGGTAATCGCGTTGGCCAATACCAGCGTTACCAGACCTTTTGGGGGACGCAAGCTTTGCATCGCGGTCCCCCGATGCGTTCAATGGGGCAAGGGCCGGTTGATAGCCCTAGGTACGAAAGCAAGAGATAGTCCTGCTACTTGTGCAAATTGCGGTCGACCGCACACCGCTAATTATCATGGCTGCAAATACTATCCGCGGAAGTCAGTCCGCTAAGTCTACTCCGTTGGTGCTCATTACAAACAAAACCGTTACTTCGGGGGTCTCTTACGAGTCCCATTTGCGGACAAAACTGCATTAAGACTAGCCCGCTATTCCGTTAATTTCTAAGGTAGCAAAAACCACAGAAATTACAGCAGCAGTTAGCAATTTTAACGACGAAATTACCCTGCATGCTTGACACTGTTGAATGGACTAGAATTTGTGCAACTGTTTTCAAACCAGAGACGCACCGCTACATTCGACTATTATTATGGAATGCGAATGGTGTTCAGAGTAAGAAGCATGAGCTCCAGGAGCTGTTACGACGTGAATGAATTGATGTGTGCGCCGTCAACGAGATGCACTCCTTCCTAAAGTCGCATTTAACCTCTGCAACTTTGTTAAGTATCGCCAAGACCGGATTGATGTAGGCGGCGGGGGCGTGGCTATCTTGGTGAAACGGTGCGTTCAACCTCACTCGATATCTCTGCCACTTCTACAGAATCTCGAGGCAGCGGGGGTTTCCCTGTGGAGGCCTGGGATCTGTCTGTGATCGCTGTTTATAAATCCCCTTGGAATCTACTATAGCCCTCCTATTAGGACGCCATCTTTGCGATTGTCTCCTCTGCTGTTTTGTGCGGCTCTGATGCAAGCACCCTTCATTGAACAGTCGAGCCGAAATTTCGAATAGACACCCCTTGGGGCTTATGCTAATGAGCACGGGCTGGACATACTATGCTCTCAGCTACCAACACACTTGGCGACTACAGGCACCATGGACTTACTGGATATCGCCACACTAAAAGATATATCTTACAACGGCAATTAAAGCGCTCCACGACCTGTCCTTTGATCACATTCCAGTTATTCTCGAATCAGGCGACGAGAAAAACACACCGAAGTCTATTACCTGCTTTTTTACCAACTGGGAAAAACTTGCTGAGTTTTAGAAACCATTCTCACGCCGTGTGCGTCACTACCGTCTACATCCGCCCTGCTGGATGATGCTATCGCCTTATTCGAAGGTGCAATGAACGTGGCTTGCTCTTCTGCCGCAACAACTCGTGAATTAACGTACCGCCTCAATCGCCTGCCTGACGAACTAAAGAGACTTCTCTGCCAACGTCGACGTCTTATCAGAGTGGCCCTATTATTGCAGAGCGCCGAAGACAAACATGCCCTTAATTGACTGCACAGGTGCATAAAAAAGAAGCTAAAGGCTCATTTTAACATTAAATGGGAGGCCAAGCTGCCCTATATATTCGAATGAGACGACAGTAGCGCTCCTCCTCCTTTTGGGAATTAGTTAAAAAGAGCAAAAATCGGGACTTGTACTACTACCTCTTCGTGAGGATATATGATAGTGGCTGAGGGTGATGAAGACAAAGCTACGCTTCTCGCTAATCTCCTTCCTACTTAACATGTGCCAGCTTCTCACTCAACTACCAATGATAAGTTTTAACAGATGAGCTTCCTTCTTCCCTAGGTACACGGACCACTTGACCTAGTTAACGTTTTTGAGGTGCAAGCAATTGTTGAAGCGCTACCAATTCGAAAAGCGCCTGGCCCCAACGCCATTACTAATGAGATGTTGAAGAAATTGCGATTAATAGGGATGCCTTATCTGTACCTCCGAGTAAAATCTGTAGTCTTTCTCGGTACCTTTCCGAGTTGATGGAAGACGGCGACCGTTGTGATGCTGCCAAAGGCACTTAAACCGGAATCAGCAACTAGCAAGTACCGACCTGTTCTCTTCTATTAGCGATCGCCAAAGTGTGTGAGGGCCATTTTACTGCACCGTCTAAAAGAGGTCGTTGCCGCTCGGGGAGCCTTCTCTTAGTTTCAGTTTGGATGTCGGCAAGGGTTCCCAACGACCCAGCAGCTCCTCCGCTTAACTGAACGAACCACTTGCGCTCTTAACTTTACGAAGGCAATGGGGCATGTCTTCCTTGACGTTGAAAATGCATTTGATCAAGTCTAGCATTAAAGTCTCCTGCACGAGCTGCGCTCGTTATTAATTCTTATGGCCTTTACAACGTGCTGAAGTCATATCTAGATGACGGCGTCTTCAGCCTATGCGCGTGGGAGATACACACACCGCTGCGATCCCTTCTTCTGTCCCTTTTATTTGCAATACACGAGCGACGCGTTCTTGTCATCAGATTTACACACACTGATCGCCTCTACGCCGATGGTATGGTCATTTACCCATCGGCGAAGTCTCCTACCTGCTAGGCAAGCATCTACAGCGCCACCTTGACGCCTTTCTGACTGGCGTGCCGTAACTGGAAAGTTTATGTAAAACCGTTGAAGAGCAAAGCGCTTTTAATTACTAAAAAAAAGCATCCCTTTGTAGGCGCCCTTAACCTTTTGTAACGTGAAGATTCCTTTGTGATTTCAAGCAAAATACTTGGGAGCCTTCATTGAAAACAAGTTTTCCTGGCAATCACACATGGACTATCTAGTAGCGAAGGTCAAGCAGCAACTAAGGCGCTATACTCTTTACTATGCGGCAATGGCAAGCTTTCTCTGCGAAACAAACGGCAATTGTACATGTCTTCCATCCAGCCATTACTGACGTACGCGACTGGCGCTTTGACCTACGACTCCACTGCAATAGCGTCGGCACTTCAAGTGCGACAGAACAAATTGCGCGTGATGAGAAACGCGCCATGGTCTTTGCGAAATTAATTTCTTCGTCGGGACCTTCAGCTGGACCCTTTAAATGCCGTCTTCCAACGGAATGGCAATGCCCTTTACGGCAGGCTACCCAGGCACACTAATCCCTGCTAGTTAGTGAACTTATTTACAAGTCATGTGACGGGGCTCGTTTATCACCCTCTACGTGACTCTCTTAAGCTTTAGTTTTTGTTTCTCAATGTCAAGAAAATAAGGCCACCTTTTCGAGAAAGCTACTTTGTAATGAGTTTGCGATCACTCCTGATTGAGAGCTCGAGTATTCGAAGTTTTTTGAGATCCGAGCACCAGGAACCGGGATTTTCAAATTAACAAATGAGTATCACATGTTATATGAAATATTTAAATACGTGCGGCCTTAAGTCTTCTACTGATAGTTAAATAATTTAACTTTTTCTTTTTAAAGACTGTACGTTCGCCATGTCTTTTATGCTCCCTCATTTAAAAAACGGTTGGCAAGTAGACCAGGTTAAGTATAATGGTTATTGTTTTTATTTGTAAAAAAAGATTTTCCACTTTTTTATAGGTAGTGGTTATTTTTTTTATGTAAGTTTTGTACGTAAACATTAAAGACCATTACGGATGGGGAAAGATCTTTATTAAAAGCTATTATATTATAGTTACTATAATCTAATAGTAATAAGGAAGTTAATGCCCCATATATTATATATGTAATAGGCCGTATTGTCCGAAGAGGAAAGAGTTGTTGTGGTTCGTTTCGGTCACGATTGGGATCCCGAATGCATGAAGATGGACGAAACTTTATACGGTATTGCCCATAAAGTTAAAAACTTTGCTGTTATTTATGTGGTATTGTCTTTTATTTGATTAACAATTTTACTTTTTCTGTCTGAAATTATTTATAATAGGTTGATATTACGGAAACGCCGGATTTTAATAAAATGTACGAACTTTACGATCCATGCACTGTAATGTTTTTCTATAGGAACAAACATATGATGATTGATTTAGGTCTTTACTTATTATACGAGAAAGTATAATTAAAATTCTTATGTATTTTTTCATGTTTCCATAAATTTTTTTATATTTCTCTAAAACTGATTCCTTCTATCCTTTATTTTTTTTTAAATATTTATGTTATTAAATTTTATAAACTACTTATATATTATATAGTATTTTCCCTTATTATTTCAGTTATTACTTAATATTTATTATTTTTTTATTAACTTTTTTATTACCATTTTACAGTAAAGTTTTTAATTATTAAAATATATTATTGTAATTTTTAGCTATCATTATCCCTTTTAATAAATATATTTTTTTTAAATAAAAAATTTACTGTAGAGTTTGTTTTCTTAACATCTATATGATACTTTATGTTTATTTGAATTTTTTTAAGCCTATTTATAGCCTTTAAATAATCATACTTATTAGACATATTTGTATATAAATTTATATAAATAATTTCCACAGGTTTCCTCGTTTCTTATATATTTTTTACTTTTTTACTTTTATTTTTTTTAACATTTTTATAAGGTACTGGAAATAATAATAAAATCAATTGGGCGATTCAAGACAAACAAGAAATGATCGACATCATTGAAGTCGTGTATCGCGGCGCTCGGAAGGGTAGAGGCCTCGTGATTAGTCCAAAAGACTATTCAACTAAATATCGATATGTACGACGCCACTTGTTATTTTTCGGAAATTTACTTTTTGTTGGATGTTTGGGATTGAAATTTCTTGAGAAAATTTTAGTCTGCTTAGGAAAATTTAAATTTTTTATAAACATTTCACTCAAAATTTTAGTTTTTGAATGTTTTGGAATTAATTTAATTTAGAATTTTTATTTTATAAGGTTTATATGGAAATTTTAGTTTGTTTAAGGAATTCTCATTAAAGCATCATTGATTTTAATTAAAATTTTGGTTTTTGTTGGAAGTTTTAGATGGAATTTCTTGAGAATTTTATTAATTGTACTTTTTGGTATTATTAATATACAAGTTTTACTATTTTCGTGAAGAGCAAATTTTAATTTGTTCAGAAATTTTTTTATAAAGATTTTAAGTATAGATTTAGTTTTTGTCGGTTGCATTGGAACGTATTGTTTTGAAAGTTATAAATAATATTTCTATGTAAAAATTAAGTTATAATTTATTCGCTGAGGAAATTTTTTTAAAGAAAGGGGTAATTTAAATAAAGATATATTTGTATAGGAAATAAGTTTGTATTTAAAAAGTTGTTAGCTTGTAGTATTTTAAGGATTTTTGTTAAAAGTTAGTTTTAGCTTCTAAATTTTAATATAATTATATATAATTTGGGAATTATAGAAATATTTTGTTTTTTTTACTCCCTTTGGTTCAGATTTTTTTACTTTATGGGTAGTATGAATTTTCTTTTGTTGGCTCAATTCATTATTTTTAAATTTATATTTTTTTTTACATAAATAGTTTTGCACTTCCGCATACTTGCGTTAAAATATTTAAAATTTTGGAAATTTTTAATTTTATTAGAAATTGGTTTATCAAGTTAATTGTTATTAAATTACATTTACTTTTATTAGTTTGAAATTTTTTTAACGTAAATTATTTTTTGTTAAATATAATTTTGTTTTTAAATTAATCTTAATTTCGGTAGTTCCTTTTTGAAGGTAAAATTTATTAAAATATTTTTCATTATGAACCGGGGTATGAATAAGTGCTGATCAATAATTTTTTTTTTTACTTTGTTGTCTTTATAATTACTCAAAACTTACTTGAATAAATACTTGGAAAGTATTAATTTTTAGAAAATATTTATATTTGTTTAATAATTTTTTTTGAATTTATATTGAATTGTATAAATAATTAAATATTTTATTTAAATTTTTTATAAAAAATAATTTTTATTTCCGTAAAAATAATTTGGTTATTTTCATAGAATTAATTTATATAAGATTTTGATTTAATATATTTTTTTTTAGTTACAGATATATAGATTTTTTGTTATTTATAATTTTTACTTTGAACTCTTGTAAATAAATTTTATCAGAGCTGATCTATAATTTATTCATGCTTATAATTTGTTTTCTTTACTTATTAAAAAAATGGAAATAAAATTTTTTATAAGTATTTCATTTTTTACAGTTTAAATTTTGCACAATATTTTATTTACTATGCATGTATAATTTTTTTACCGGTTGACCAGTGCATTACTACTTTTGTTTTAGTTTATTTTTTATTTTTTAGATTTTTATAAATTTTTTTCCTTTTCATTTTTATTGCTGGAATTATAATATTATGATTTTGACTTTACTTATTTTTTTTATTTTTTATTAATTTTTATTTATTGAAATTTTGCTATTTATACTAAATTAATATTGTTTAGTAATAAATAAGTTAGATTTTTATTTTACACAATTTATCGATTTTCTTTTCAATTTCTTATTGGATATGTTCTGTAGATTAAAATATATTTTTTTTTGTTTTATATTATACTTAAAATTTTGTTATTTAAAAGATTTATTTAAATATATTTATAAAATTAATTTCTATAATGACTAATATTTTTTAATAAATTAGTAAAATTTAACGAGGCCTTCTCTAAATCACGCTAACATAGTGGAAGCTACACAACTGCATTCATTTACACGGAAATTTATTTAAAATTTATAGTAAAGATTACTTTTTTTTGCTTATATGTAAATTATACAATTTTTTTTTATAAATTTATCATGAATAGTAGCTTATAAATGATTTTATACTTTTTTAAAAATCAATTAAAGTTGCAAGATTTCATAATATAATAAACAAAGTGAAGCTCCTAAAAAAAATTTAAAGCCTTCTATTGTAAATATAGTATGTAAGATTTTAATTAATATTAACCGTTTTACATATTTATGCACATATTTCTCAGTAAAACGAAGGAGACCATTACTAAACAATATATAAAATTTTACATAACTCGGTGTTATTTTTTTTTAGAACGAGCAGGAAAGTAAATTTTACTCTATCTTTAACTCTATATAAATTTTTTTTATGAAATCGAAATTAAGCGGAATTTTATTTTGATTCAATTTATTTTAATTATTTTAACTTCACTTTTTGTTAGTATTAATAATTTATTTTTTCTAAATTTTTAATGTTTGAACATTTTTCTAAGTAGTTAATTTATTTTTATTTTTATTTTTTTTGTTACTCCTTATTTAATAATAAATTTATGTACTCCCCACATCGTTCGAGTAGCAGAATTAATTATACATGAACAATTTTTGAAATGAAAAATAAATTAAATTAAAAAATAAAACCGAAAGACTCTAACGGATCTCTTTCTAAATTATTTTCAATAAAAACTTCTATATTTTATTACACCTTGTTCTCATATTTTCAGTGACCATAAGCAGGATCGCAACCTTTTTCAATTTTATAAAAATATATTAGGTAAAATTTAATACTTATGAAGCCTGTAAAAATTAAATCTTTTAAAGAAAATTTATAATTAATTTCAGTTTTAATTATGCGATTAGCAGGTTTAATCCCCACAATCCAGAACTTTTAAGAAGCTGGCAAAAAATTGATAGTTTCTTCGCGTTCTTTTAATTTATATTAAAAATTATTTCAGTCTTTATTAAACGCACTTATGTGGCAAAAGCCATAATGCACAGAGCCTAGCACGAGATCGTTAATTTTATCTATAAAGCCCAGCTATAAAATTCCCATAGTTTTTAAAAGAAATAGAAAACTTATTTTTATTTTTATACTCTTTTAAGGTTTTACGCACAACTAACACCGGACAGAATCCATAAGGCCGACACGAGAATAATAATTTCTTTATAACTTAGCTAATCTAGACTTTCCTTCTGAATTTATTTTATAAAAATTATATTTTTTTTTTTAATTTTACATTTCATTAACATAAGCCTGAAACCGTCAAAAGGCGGCATAACAAGTTTCACCTTTAAAACTTAGTTAAAAAGGCTACGCTACACTTAGCTGTACATACTAAAAAGGGGTTAACTAAAAGTAAATATTCGTAGTTTTATTACCTTTTACTATAATTTATTGTCTTTAAGTGATATGAAACTTTTTTGTAGCTTTAAAAATTTTAAACGTCTTAAAAGGTAAAGAATACTGAGATCAGAAATACAACAGATCTTTAATTATTTTTATCAAGTTAATGACTTATAGAATAAAAAATGCAGAAGTATCGCTTAACCTATTTATTATGGGATGTATAGCTATCAATTTCCTTTATAAAATAAACTGAAACTATATATGACAAAGCATATACATAAAAGCTAAAAGAATTCTGTTACTATTAAAAAGGGCTAAAAAAATATTATTTTAACTTGCACCAAATAAATTAAATATAACCTTACAATTAGTGGTCTCCAAAAAAAAAAAATTAAGTAGACTAAAAACTATAACATGCCTTAAAGAATTAAAAAGTCACACAGAAGTCAAGTAACACTAAAAAATTGAAATTTGATAATGTCGCTTTATTAAAAATTTAAAAACCAAAAAGAACATTAATCTGATTGAAAGGCTAATAGTATCTAAATCCGTTAAACTAGTGTCCAGGTGTAAAGAACTTTCCTCGGCAGTCGAAAAGCCTTCAAAAAAAAGTAGCAACCTAAAAAATAAGTCAAGTAGAGAGCGAGAAGCATATGCACAAAAAACTCTATGTTAAAATAAATATTCAGTCCCGAAAGATGGTATATCCCCTTCACGGTGATAAGGAGGAAATAAGACGGTTTACATCATAAGTGAAAAAACAATTATGAATAAAAATATATAAACTATGCGCAACAAAATCTATGAAAATATAAACATGAGCAAAGAAGTAACAAAAAAGACTTTAGCTAAATAATAAAAACTTTACCGGAAAGTCTAAGGGCAAAACAGACTAAAATATCTGAAAAAAGCAAAAAATGCGTCAGCGCTGAAAAAAAACACGTCGGACACAAGAGGGTTGAGAAACAACAACAAATAGAAGTGGCCGCGTGATTTGCAAGGTTAAAAAATATAAAATTATTGGAGACGAATTAATGTTAAAACGTAACAAATTTGTATTACACTTACATACAACACGTGGAAAGTTGGACTTTTTAGCAAGGCGATAAAACCTAACTTTGTTTAGGTTTAATAGACTAAAACTACCAAAAGCTCGAATACTATGAATATAACAGAACATTTTAATTTTCACGAAACTTTCATATATTCTTATATAAAAGCGATACAAACCTAAACCGAGGTGGGGCCCCGGGAGTGCCTCGCTTCTGGGGGGCTTGAGTCGGGGAGTAGCGGTTTGCCGGTATCTCCAAGTGACTTCTCGGGTCTTTGTGCCTGAGATTGCCACCTCCCCCATTGGTTGGTGGTAGCGGCGGGTGTTCGGAACTTAGTTTAGTCTTCCGCTTTCTCAGTCCTCTTGGGTCGGACGCTATATTACTGCTCTACAAGGTGGCACTGCACGACGCCGCGACACTCTTAAGAATAGTAGTTGGTGGTGGTAAGTATACTCAGGTCGTGGCTTACAAAAAGGTCTCTCACGAAGGCGGGCCAGGGCCCTCTTGCGTCAATGCGTGTGTTGAATTTGGACTCCCCTCCCCCCATTCTTTGTTTCTTTGCTTTTTTAATTCCATTAGAGTTACCAATAAACAGGAATTTTGCAAATTCTATATTTAATTAAAATACGCACTTTTTTGAAAAAGGAATTTATTTTCGAAGGGAATCTTAGATTTTTTACTTTAGTACTTTGGAAAGCCAGCTTGACAAAAAAATTTCCCTAATGAAAATAAAAGGAAATGCATATATTAAAAAATTTTAATTATATCTTTCTTAATTTTTGTGTTCGACATTACGTTTAAATAAATAAATTTATAATTTTATATAAAAAACTGCATACGCATAGAAATAAAAAATAATTTTTTAATATTATTTTTTCGATTTTCAGCAATCCACTTAATTTTATAATAAAACTTAAAATATAGTAAAACGAGCAGATGAACTAGCAATGTTTGTATGGAGTCGATATTGTAATAAATACAAAAATTAGAAACGTTATTTAGATCTAAGTAAGACTTCTAAATTTCTAAGTAGAGCAGAGCTAAAAACAAAATAGGATTGATTAATATTAGCATAAGTAATTTTGTTAGAAACGTTCAAAACTTTGTGTTCGGGTGCAATAAACATTAAAAAATACATGAAAAACCAAGAGGAGGTTGCTTTAGTGAAATTTTTTAAAACGAACTTAAATTAGCCGTCTGCTTTGTTACTAAACCTAAAGATTATTTAAAGACCGAACGGGCATATATAAGAAAATTAAGAAAAAAATGCTCTAAAACAGATGACCATTTTATAATAAATACTTACCTAAAGAGGTCTTTTCAACTTATTATAAGCAGTTTTTTAAACATACTAACAGTAACTACAAATGCAGGAACAGAGATTAATAGACTGCAAACCCCGACGCGGATTTATGCAACTCTTCTTTTACTATTTTATTTTTATTACTATTTAGATTTTTATTTGCACTCCTTTTTAACTTCAATATATGCAAAGCAAAAAATGTACTGACATACTTCTTGTCTACTTTTTTTTTAACAGTTTATTATGTTTTTTAGAGTATAAGCTACGGTGATGAAAATTTCGACCCGTTACATTGATTTTCCTACGCGTAAAATACTCAGAACTACTGAACTAAATAATATATAATTTTTTATTTCTTCGACATATTTTTTACTGATTTTCTAGTTATTTATTATAATAAATTACTTCTAAATCTTTTGTTTAGAGTTAATATTGTTCCATTTCCCATAGGAAATGCAAACGGGATCCCGCGCTTTGCAGGAATGAAAATAAAGTTGTGATGTTTTATTATATTAATCAATTTTTGCAGAATTCTCACAAAACAATTTTAGATTTCTTCTATCGTGAATTTAAATGGTTTTCTCCTTAGACGCGCTCATGACTCATAACACCGTGTTCTTTTCAGTATCGTCCGCCACGTGTTTTTAATAATAGCCTACTATGCGAAATAAACCTACACTTTGGTTAATTTTCGAATTAAAAATTAAACTTTTAACCCATATTGGATGCGTTACTTATTTTTTTTTTTATTACGTTGAGTGAAAAAAAAAAGAAAATAATTACTTCCACAAACCCCCAACGCCGTAATTTCAACAACGTCAGGGGTTTGTATTAAATTTAGTAGTTGTAATATACTACAACATCGTCAAAACGAGTTGGCGATATTTCCCCCTTCGTTAGAAGGGAGAAAAGAAAGTAGAAATTTTCTACTTATTTGTCACTAGAAACCTGTCGGTGCACTCATTTCATGAGCCCAGCATCCTCCTGGAATTATTTTTTATAAAGTACAAATAAAAAATCTGCTAAGTGCAAGGAATGTTCGGAGTTGTTAAATTGAGTGCTGGATGGGCAAAAGGATTATATACTCGTTTGAAAACCGTTCATAAGTACAATTTAAAAATTACAAGAAAAATAACATCTTCCAGTAGTATTGAAAAGGGACCGAACTAGAAATACGGAGGACAATTTTGTTGAGCCGACATCACTCACTAATCCAAAAAAAAAAAATTGGAGGATTTTTTCCATCTTATAAAAAACGAAAGCACTGAGATGATATCCCGAATGGTTGCACTAGGTGGTTTTCTACGTAGATCTTTTATTACTTCGATAGATTTAATAAAATTATACGTTAAATAGGGGCATAGCTCACCGGATACAGCGCGTACTCTTAGAAATTCCGTTAAAAATGGAATGTTTGAGGAAATTCTTGCTTTGCATCGCCAAAACCATAGGTATTTCTTCCCCTCCCTTTTTTTTAAAATTGTTTTTATAACCTTTATCGTAGGTTTTCATCAACGTTGTCGCTCTTCAAATGTTAACGTTCATTGCTATATCAAAAATTCAATTCATATTTGTTAACTTAGGACTCACTCGGATGGAAAATGCCAGCAGAGGATATTATCGCAATTTAATTGTCGTTCGAAAAAGATACAGTAGCCATTTGTAATGATGGTGCTAGTGTAGTGATAGGAATGGGTAAACTGCTAATTGCAGAGCCAGCTCTCGATGAGTTAAAAGTTTAGAAGTTCTTAAAAAAATTTTCACTTTGCTTAAATGAATGGTTGTGTCTTTCTTGTAGAACAGCAGTTGTGTCATCTCCAGTTCTTCAGTTAGCAGTCTTAGATGTTCTTTACAATAAAAATAAAAGAAAACGATAAAGTGGAAGAATAAATTGAAACCGAGACTGAAAGCTTAAAGGAGGATTCTTCGTCGGATGATTCGGACAACGAAGCATTCACCGAATTTGAAACAAAGAAGTTTCTTTAACGGAATTGGTAGAATATTGTAAAAAAATAAATAATACTCCGTAAAGTTGTAAATTTGATCAGAAAATCTCCTTTAAAAAAATGATATTTATTTGCATATTGATGTAAAAGATCAGTTTGGAAGAGAAATAAGTTTGAAATTGAATTGTGAGACTAGATGGTGTAGTCTATACGATATGGTAGAAAGATTTTTAAAGCTAAAGACCTGTGTTACATTAGCTTTGTTAGAGTTGCATCCGAATATAAGTTTTGGTGAATTGGAGTGGCAATTACTCCAAAATATCCCTAGCGCGTTTAAATTTCTCAACTCGGAGCGTCGAGGTTCTCCGGCGCGGCGCGAATTTATTAACAGCCGAACCCAACCTGAAGTTTGGAGTAAAAAAAAGTTGGACCAACAAATGAATAAATTGAGTAATTAATTATCTACAACGATTAAAAAAGGAATAACTGAACGAAGGACTGTAATGACGCTGGTCTTAATATTTCTTCATAATCCGAAAGCGTTCGAAAGAAAATCTGTTGACCCTAAGGTTTTTACTTGTCCATCAAATATAATATTTGGAAAACAATAGAAATATTTGTTGACGTTTATCTTAAAGCCAACAGAATGCTGAGAATGAAGCCAGGAAAAATTCCACAAATAGAGGATTTGTCGATTAAGAAACAGCTTGACATGGCTATTGTCGAAACTTCTTTAAACCAGAAAATAAAAGCCCTCCGAAAAATTCGGATGCACTCATAAGGGAAATAATATCATGGGGGCAGATCACCATCAAGGGGAAAAAAAAATTTAATGGTTACCCATCCCTCTTACAATTCCACCGTCGAGCATCGAGACAGAACGAGCGTTTTCAACGGCAGAAAACTTTAGTACGAATGACGACGCCTTAGTCATATTAGTTTTTTGAAGTCCTATTTACCAAATGATTAATTTTAGCACCGTAACCTTTCGATTTTTTTTTTACTTTTTATTTCAAAATTTTTCTTGAAGTTTTATGAAATGTTGCTACCTTGTAAGGAATGGAAAGCATCCAACTAGGATAGGATTTTTCAGCTAAATTATTTATTTATAATTTTTCCTCTTGAAAGGTGTGCATAATTTAAAGGGAACCTTCAAAATACAAAATAGGACTTAATTTTTTATTCCTGTTAATTACAGGCTGTAACGAAACGAGTAAATTTTGTTGAGCTCGCGGTTCCCTCAAAACCCAATCCCGCGCGGAATTGCACCCCCAATATCCGTGTTGAGGTTTGCATGTCGTCCACTCGCATCTAAGGTCCTAATTTGTGATCTCTTAGAGTTAGCAAACATGGCTTTGTTTACCGCAGTAGAGGTTTTTATAACATATTTTTTCCTTTGGAAAATTTACTTTTACTTTTATTTTTGATGGAAAGGCTTTACATACCGAGCTTACAATTATTTATCGGCCGAAAAACTTTATAAAAACCCTTCTTGCTGTTTGATGGTTACTTTCCAAGCTATTTCTGTAATTATATCCCCCTTTTAGCCACTGTGATTAATTTTAGGCTTATTTGCTTGTGGTTTTTAAGGTTTAACTAAGCTTACAACTATTAATGAGAATTAGGTCGAAGAAAAATCGGTTTATCTGAGATACTTTACACCAGGGCTCGAGATCCTAGACTTTGGTTTCACCAGGTTGTCGTTTAAATTTTACTAAATCTTTGCTATACTCTGATATTATTTTAAACTAGTTGGTGCCACTTAAGTTAAAGCATTTTTCCTTGGCGCACCCGTCGTAAGGCGTAGCAGCTTGGTTTGTCTTACTTGAACCGAAGAGATTATCGCCAATGAATTGTAGGCCCAAGCAGTAGACGCGTATGTCATGATTGGCCGGATACATCACACATCCAAGCATCATCTATTGTACAACGAGGGTTTGCTATGGGTACAAAGTAAAGGGTAAAGAGTTTGAATCGTCTCCTTGACCTTCGCCCTAATATAGTTTACTTGCGGTCGTCACGTATTTTTATTATTATTTATTAAACACCTTAATTTATCATGTATTATTATTATTAATTACTACTAAAATTATTATTACTATTATTAACATTATATTATTGGTAGTAGTAGAGAATAAAGTATTAAGTATTCAGTTTGTCAGCTAAAATGGGGGGCTAACAGGTGCATGGGTTTCTACGTTTGGTATAATACCGAGTATCGTAGGAAATTATTAATGTAGATAACAATTTGCTAAAGCATTTTTCTGGAAGTTATTCATCGATTTCGTGATTAATTCA